AGGGTTCACAATTTCTACGCGACCTATAATTTGAATCAAATGTGCCCCCACGATTTTTTGGGGGAAAACATACCTTATGTTTAAAAAACAAAATAGTGGAATCGTGCGAATATAGCCGAGGATCATCTCCCTAACTTTTTGGCCATTATTTAAGGTAGACGTGTTAAAATAACGGTGGAAAATAGATCATATAAATTTACCCGAGAAAATGTAGGGATTATTTTTTTATGTAACCATGATGACGAGAGAAAGTAGTGAAAAAAACTCAAGTGCTGTTGGAAACTTGATTTTCCGGTCGTTCACAAGATCAATTGGGAACTTAACAAAAAAATGATTTTATGCGGGTGTCTGATTTACAATTGAAAAATCTGAGGATAATGTACAAAATTAGTCCGGGAACAAGTAGGAAAAATAAGGGGAAATGACCAGGGAAATAACAACAAAGCTACCAGATGAGGAGGGAGTCTGTGTACAAATAGAAAACATTGATATCACTTATTTTGAGCGGGAAAGTTAGCCAGCACTTTGTACAATATAACCATTACAAAGTGTTACCAAAGCGGTCATGATTATTTAGTAAAATTGCATGATTTCAATTTGACAAAAGTACATGTACATGCGTTGCGAGCCATTTGAAGTATTCAAATCAGCACAGCAACAATGTTATGTCCACACAAAGATTCTGAACAAATAAACAAGAATCCGTATTCAATGTACATATTGTAGAGTCGAAGTGAGGCAAAATATATGGGAAATACGCAATGCTAATCCTACTGAACTAATTTTCTGCAATATGAACCAATAACGATCATGTATACCTGCTATAGGATTAGCCTCCATATCGTCTCAACAGCTACCACAGCAAAATAATGTTCACAAATATGGATTACTGAAATGAAATACAAATAAATACGAATTGTTATTTTTCACAAGAAAATCTACAGTTTGTACTATAGGCCTACAAATACCAGAGTTGCTGACTCGAGTCATGTGACTTGGACTCGAGTCGGACTCGAGTCGCTATTTTTGTGACTTGTGACTTGACTTGTAAATACCAGCTTTGACTTGTGACTTGACTTGGACTTGCAAACAAAGACTTGTGACTTGACTTGGGATTGCAAAAAATGACTTGTTACCAACCGAAGTCAGACGCTACTCGAGCGACCCAATACACTTTAATTAAGCTATTATAGCGAGAAAGTTTCATTCCAGAAAATAGATCTCAGTGAATGAATCCAGTAAAATGAATAGTTCCCACTAGTTTCAAAAGTTTTCATTAAGACTGTCACAACAAACTACAGTTTTCAATGTCTCTTGCTAAATGTAATGGTTGAACAAACTTTGAAAGGAACCTTTCATGAAAAGAAAGCAGGCCTTTGTCAATTGCATGTAAAATACCGGGTATCCTAACCCGTTGGTAGGCGTTTAGTATACATGAAAATTGAACAATAAAGTGTTAGTATACTACATGTAATCGAGTGAGTGAAGTCCTTTTTTCATGTCATCTCAACATTTATTTCTACAATGTAAAGGAAATTTAATAAAGTATACAAAGGGCTAATATATCCGACAGATATGTGATAAACTACAAGACTAGTAATTGCAACACATTGAAAAAGTGGAATTAAGGAGGCATGTTAAAAAATAACTTGTAAGTTCAAACGTCAGGTTCTTTTAGCTTATTACAGCTGGACAAAATAATGTGCAACTTGACGTGTTCTTGGACAAAGATACTTGTGACTTGACTTGTGTTTAGACCAAATGACTTGTGACTGACTTGTGACTGGACCTAATGACTTGTGACTTGACTTGTGACTGGACCTGATGACTTGTGACTTGACTTGGACTTGCAAACAGTGACTTGTGACTTGACTTGGAATTGCAAAAAATGACTTGCTGCCACCTCTGACAAATACCAACACCTTAAATAACCAACTTTGTGAAATGAGGTTATTTAGCATACAGCATGCAATGAGGATATTTATTAGCCATAATAATGCAATATTGGAGGCATCATATATCGGCAATGTTCATAGTGAAAATACTCGAATACATTCACTAAAACATGCAATTTTACATGAAAAAATTAGTTTTGAAATTGAGCTCACCGGAAGGTACTTCTGCACAAAAAGGGGCCGTCAGAAGCCAGATACAGCTAGGCGAGGCTCCATAATGGTATCAAAGAAATAGCAACGGTTGTAAAGGAAGGAAAATGAATGTGGCTAAACTCAGGAAACGCAAAGAACGAAGAAAGAACAGCGCTCTACGTCGATCCTTCTCTCAGGACGGCATGTGCAGGAATGACTGTCTTGAATTTCGCGCTGCACCACGCCCTAAACGCTCAACTAAGCACAGGCATTTCACTTGTTCGCCTGAACAATGCCAACAATTCCTTCAGTAAGGAGAGCTCCTGCGAGGGCGGTAGGTATTTATACATTCCTAAAGGTTTACAATTTACTTAAAACTATTTAAACGTTTGCAAAACAGGCGTGGATCCAGAGGGGTGGGTCACCCCCCCCCCCCCCGCACTGTCAAAATATTTTGGATCCATAGAAATTCATTAAAAAAATGCGAAAAATCCCCCCCCCCCCGCTCCGACACCCAAACTTGTTTTGCTAGTAATAATGTCCGTCTTGCACAAAATACGTACAGAGCCAGCTTGGTTAAAAATTTTAACCAGAAAATATTATTGCAAACTAATTATAAAGACAGTTATTAAAAGAGAAAATTCTTTTCAAAAAATTAATTTGTACGTCATCGCAAAATTAAATCTTGTCTTTCTTACATATTGCCAATTGAAATTCAGAAATTTTACCTAGGCCCTACAAAGATTACCACTGAAGTGGAACTATTGCTAGTATTGGGCTTTCAAATACAACTTTTCCAAATGGTAAGACATTTTGAAATTATTCCATCAGTTTGGATATATACTTCATGAATTTCTTAATAAACGAGCGTATCAAAAAAAAAAAAATTAATCAGACACAGATTTCAATCTCTTTTTTGAAAAAATATGTGGCCCTGAAAAGGGCCGGTTGTTTTTTTTTCTTCAGTAAAACTGAATATACTCCTTTACCGTCTGTGGTAGCTCCAGGGTTGCCACAGACGGGTGTACAACTTCGCTTCGACGAAATGCCAAGTAGTCCGACATGTTGGACATGTAGGACATGTTGACAGCCAAAATGCCCCGGACAGCATCCGCCGCTAACCCCTCCATCGTTGTGAGGTGCATCAGGTATTGACTGTGTTGTCGTAACCATGGCATCCGTACCGGTAGGGCCCTCGCATAATGCATGGCGGTTGACACGGAGATGCAAAGTCTATGATCGGCACTAATAAAATACGAGTACGTGTGAACATTGTTATTTTTCACAAGAAAATCTACAGTTTGTACTATAGGCCTACAAATACCAACACCTTAAATAACCAACTTTGTGAAATGAGGTTATTTTACAACATATACAATGAGGATATTAGCCACAATAATGCAATATTGGAGGCATCATATATCTGCAATGATCATAGTGAAAATACTCAAATACAGTCACTAAAACATACAATTTTGCATTAGAAAATTAGTTTTGAAAAGTTGAGCTCACCGGAAGGTACTTCAGCATAAAAAGGGGCCGTCAGAAGCCAGATACAGCTAGGCGAGGCTTCATAATGGTACCAAAGAAATAGCAATGGTTGTAAAGGAGGGAAATGAATGTGGCTGAACCCAGGAAACGCAAAGAACGAAGACAGAACAGCGCTCTGCGTCGATCCTTTTCTCAGGACGGCAAGTGCAGGAATGACTGTCTTGAATTTCGCGCTGCACCACGCCCTAACGCTCCACTAAGCACAGGCATTTCACTTGTTCGCCTGAACAATGCCAACAACAATTCCTTCAGTAAGGAGAGCTCCTGCGAGGGCGGTAGGTATTCATACATTCCAAAGGTTTACAATTTACTTGAAACTATTTAAACGTTTGCAAGCAGGCGCGGATCCGCAATTAGACCGACAGCGGGCGCAATAAATTCGCAATTGATAAGGGTTTCACAAATTTCTACGCCACCTTATTTGAATCAAATGTGCCCCCACAATATTTTTGGAAACCTCATGTTTTGAAAAAAACGGTGGAATTGTGCAAATATAGCCGAGGATCATCTCCCTAACTTTTTGGCTACTATCCGGGGGGGGGGGGGGGGGGGGGGGGGTATCAAACCCCCAGCACTGTCAAAATTTTTGATCCAGAGAAATTCATTGGGAAAAAAATGCGAAACCCCCACCCCCCCCCCCCCCCCCCCCCCCGCTCCGACACCCAAACATTTTTTGCTAGTAATATACGGTCCGCCTTGCATAAAATGCGTACAGAGCAAGCTCGGTTAATAGGGGGTATATGTACACTATTCGGTGATATACTGTTAATAATCATCGGATTTGAACAGCGCCCCCATTAAAAGTATGGTACGAGACAATTTTCAAATATAATACAGTTTTACTGCATTCTTTGACAATTGACAGTTTTAGACAATTACAGAATTAACTTTGGACCATAACCGACAGTTGTCATATCAACACTATTTTGGGGGGCCGAGAGGGCTCGGGATTTTTTTTTCCCAAAAAAGGGAAGGATTTATTTGAAGTATATAATAGTACCGTACGCTATTTCCACATTGTATTAAATCTAAAAGGTATGTGTATGCAGTTGATGGCTTGAGAGAGATACGCAATGTTTGAATTTAATTCTTAAACTTTAACACAAAAGGGTGTCTTCACTCCTCCGATTATTAAAAAAAGTCTTGGGGGCCAAAAAATAATGAAGGGGGGGGGGGGATTTGGTGAACTATATTACAGGCGAGTCTTTCACGTGTTTCATATGGACTTCATATCAAAATAATGCAGAAATCCAAAATTACATGATAGAAAAGTTAGTGATATTATAAATGTCAAGATTTTGTACGTCGTGTTTTAATACATTTATATTTTTATTAACACTACAATGTACATTGCTTTACAGCTAAATTTGCAGATGACTCTATTGACAATCTAAATTTTCTGAAATCATCAGCCAGCCCAGTGGTTGAGTGGGTAAGATGTCTGCTCCAGTAAGCAGGAGGTTGGCTTTGAGTCTCACCCAAGCAAGCTTGTGATCTTTTTCTTACAAACTCATAAATAGCACAAAGTAACTAGTATACTCATAAAAAATAAAATCAGTGAAGGGCAAAAACAAATATCAAAATATTAAACCAGTGTAGATTGAATTAACATAAATGTACAGTTAACACATGTTCAAGCGTGGAGGATCAATTCCTTTTGGGCGCTCATCTGTCACTTCTTCCTTGACATCAGTAGTCGTCACCTTTGATGTCTCAGTGACCCCTCGTTGACCTCTGTACAGTACAAGAGTGCATGATTGGTCTTTATTCAAGTTGGTAGCTGGTAACATGTAATGCATTCTATTTAGAGTTGGGTGAGGTATAACTGGAACAGTGGGTAGGAAACAGAGAAGTGGGTAGATAACGAATGGTCTGACAGACGAACAGATTGTGAGTGAGCCTAAATATTAGCTGCCAAAACTGATCAACAAACACATGGGTTCATAGTTGGCCACAGAAACCAACAGTCAATTGTTTTCCAAACAGACCACAAATAATTAGACATGTATACAAACAAACAAACACACAGACCAATGAACAAACAGGCAGAATGACACACCTGTCACCATTCCCCTCCACGGAGTTCATCATGACTGGAGGTGGAGGAACATTAGCACTGTTATCGCATTTCTGAATAATAAAAGGTAAGGAAAATAAGACATCCAATTCTTTTATTCATAAAGGGCATAAAATTCAAAGTTTAAGGCCTTCATACCCTACTTTCAAAGGGGGCGTTGTTCAAATCCGACAATTTTTAACACTTTGTTACAGGATAGTGTACAAAATACCCCCGTAACTTAACAGGCTCTGTCCGTATTTTGTGCACAAGCATATATTAATACCAGCATTATTTTTGATGAATGTCTATTGACAAAAACAAATTTGGACCCCCTCCCCCCGGTTCCACGCCTGCATGCTCATGTGATGAGCATTGAAGTTGGAGCTAGCAGAAGAAACGAAAAGAGACAAGATGTACATCCTTTAAAAAAAAGTGATCAATTGGGGTGGATGGGGGGGGGGGGGGGGGGGGGGTCAGCTTCGCCCCTGAAAATAATTTGCTATAGTTGTTTTGATTCCCCCCCCAGGACACAATAAAAACCTTTTCGCCATCTCTTATTATGTTCATTAGGCTGTTTGTGTGTTTCCAATGAAAGCTTTTATGGCGCCAAAAAACTTTCAATTTCTTTTGCAAAATATTTGCTAGACTTGTGCAGATTATACAACTATTACCAAATAATTGTGCAATTTCATGCTCAGTACAACAAAATGTTACCAATTTTAGTCTAAAATTCAAAAATGTTTCTTGAAAATTTGTTTGAGGGCCATTAAGCCATTGTGCAGATACCGCCATCTTTAAAATTGGGGGGGGGGGCATAACAATAAAAATACGTCCCATTATGCAACTGTAGCTGAGCATGGGACCCCAAAAAGCTTATCTTTACAGGAAAATTAGGCCGTCCTACTAAAATGTGCCAACAAACGTCAACAAGTGTCAATGGTCGTCAACAAGCATCAACAAATTTTGTATATGCTTTTGAACATTCAATGTAGCTTTATATGATAAAAATAGCAATAAATAACATCTTCAGCATATCAATTAAAGTTTAAATTATTTAAAAAGTTGTTTTTCAATGCAAAACCTACGAGTTTGTCGGTTTAGTATCGGCCGCATCCCGCCATCTTGGTCACATGAAGCAGAGATCTACATACTACGCATGCATGGGGTGTACCATTAACGCATAGGGGTTTCTTTCTTCGAAACGCTTTTAGCGATACCTAGAAATTAGGAAAACTATTTTTTCTTTAGTTATAAATTAGGCAAAAATTGGTCATGGTACTTGGCTAATTAGGCCTATTTGAATAATATGCCTACTTACACTGTTCAATAAAATATAATCGATTCAGGCCCCTCACTCAGACCTCGGTCAGTAATTCCATACACCAGGTTCACCCAAGCGATAAATGGAATGGTCCAATCAGCGCGACCAGTGTCAACACAAACAAGATGGCGGCCAATACTAAACTGACAAACTCATCGAAGGTTTCGCGCTGGAAAACAACTTTTTCACTAATTTTAACTTTAATTGATATGCAGAAGATGTTCTTTATTGTTTTTTTTCCATATAAAGCTACTTTTAATGTTCAAAAGCACATACAAAATTTGTTGATGCTTGTTGACGACCGTTGACGCTTGTTGATGCTTGTTGACGCATTTTAGTAGGACCCAAATTAGGTACTCGTTCTCCTCAGGCCCCCCAGTCCTATATAAGGTTAAAAGAATCACCAAAATAGCCAATTGTTAAATGACACTCACAAGTAACATTCTGATATTTCTTGACACTTTTGAACAGCTGGTATAATGACACATTTCTTGAATATCAGCAGGTTCAATTATGTGTGAAGAGGGCAGGGCTTTGATTGATGAGAGAAATTACGGGGTAAAAGTTGTCGACAACAACCACAAAACAGGCTCGAAATCAAGACTCACCGTCAGTGAAGCTTGATGCAATGAAAGCTTGATGCCAATTGGCTAATAAAAAATCATGTGGAAAGATTCCCATATCTGTCCATCACTAATTTTTCACTTGAGTGACCTATCATTGTAATCAGCCATCAGAAAGTGATAATAATTACCGGCGTGTCCTAAAAAGTCAAAAGTAGCAGGGAAAATGTTGAAGTATTCATTGAGAAAACACTTTCAGACCAGTCTCATAGGGTTTGTGCACAGGGTGACAAGTGATGGCCAGATATGGGAATCTTTACAATTATTTCTAATGGTTTTTTTTATCAGCCAATCAGAATCGGGCTTTCATTGTGTCAGGCTAACTTCATGAGTGTTTTGAGAATTACAACGTGCAAGCCTCACACGGTCTGACTGCAAAAAAAAAAGGTTAAAAAATCACATTTTCTTTTTAAAGTGCTTAATTTCAAAATTACAACAAACACGAGTTAATCTGGAAAGAATGTTGCATCCTGACGCCACTTCACATTTATTTTCTCAATGAAGGTCAAACGACATGGGACTGCAAAAAACTGACATTGCCAATTTTGCTGTTAGAGTACTTAAAACTATATAATGCACTCGACAACTAAAGAAGTACTGGTACTATTCTTTCCAGGCTATAACGTAATTTTGAAGAAAAAAATGGTTAAGTTTTTAGGCCTAAAGTGTACTTACTTTGGCTGTTGTGTCGGTATACATGTAAACTCTAAGTCTCTAGCTGCAATCGCTCTGCCCGCCAAATTATGAATGCTGTAAACGCATGTGTGAAATCGTTTGGTAAATCCCTGGTCCCAAGTGACGGCATCATTTTCAAAGCATTAGGCGGTGCGGACCAGTAATTTTGGAAAGTGCCCTAGTCACTGAAAATCCAACCTCGTCCCCAGGGTGTCGCGCCCATCACTACCTGCTCTCTCACCCTGGTATTGGATCTGTTTCTGTTTCTGTTCCATAAACGTACAAACACCTAGAAGGTTGTCGACGTACGTTGGTTGGATCATTTGCATGTGCAAGATTTTTGAACACGTATGCAAATGAGGAACAGTCTGGTGCCTGGATATGCGTTACACATTAGCGTTTGTTTGTGTATGCGGTGTCTGGGGTAAAAACAGAGTCAATTCGTAGCAGCGCGAGCACGGCGTGAGTTACGAAAACACGATTTTTGAATTCAAACTGTTACGATCTTATCCAGACAACATGCAGTAACATATTTCATATTAATATGAGCAAATTGGAAAGGAAATTAGTATTTTCGAGAAGGCGTGGACGAATGATCGCGAAAACACGTACTGCACGTTGTGAATAATAGCACCAAGTACACGATAAAAATCCATTACTAGCCAATTGCGGTATCCAATCAGGATACAGGAAGAAAGTTTCCTATCCAGGGTTTACTATTGGAAACGCGGTTGGAAATAAAGTAAGCACTGGGGACGACTGAAAATCAGTAACCCTCCGCGAAGTGATTCCCACAAACAATTACGTAATGATTACAAATATATATTTGGGCGTGAACCAGTTATTTTGGAAAGTGCCCCATCACAGGTAACCTTCCGCGACTCGATTTTCATAAAATTGAACAGAATTTGGCTTGTTTGGGGAATACATTTTGTACGGGTGATCAGGCCAAAAAAAGTCTCCGGTTTCTGGTATGGAGCTTGGCAAAAAAAGCCGCGTCGCCGCACCACTTTGTGGGCAAGCTCAGCTTGCCCACAAAGTGGTGCGGCGACGCGGCTTTTAAAAATTTTTTTTTACCTGATTTGTTTGCTTCAAATTTCGGCTGATGACTGTAAATGGTGCCCGACTAAACTTAGTGCAAATATATGGGAGTCCAGAGAGGCCACATAAAGCTTATTCTCGACCATAACCCCATCTAAAAACACGTTAAAATTGTGCAGCAGCAGGATTCCAGTCAAACCAGTGAGTTTGGCGGTGTTGAGACATCATCTTTCATTGAAAAAAAAAACTTTTTTCATTTTGCCAACGCGCATGGCTACGGCGACGCGCGCGCATACCAGAAACCGGAGACTTTTTTTTTTTGGCCTAATCGTTGCTCAAAAATTTGAATAAAACTAAAGAGGGTTATAAAAAAAACGGGAAAATTTTTTCAGGAAATTACTTTATAGGTCATCGCAAACATTAAAACCTGTCTTTCTTAATATTATAGGGGCCTACAAAAATGAACACTTAATTAAATATCGAAATTCAGAAGTTTTACCTGGGCCCCACAACGTTTACAACTTCGTTGTGACGGTTTCTCTCCGTGCCTGCCAATTCACTCGAATGCGTGAAAAAAAACCTCACATGATCTCCTCTCTCATGTGTTCAAAAGCATTTTGGCGGCGCGAATGGCAAGTGTCACATTTCCTTATAACCGAGGCCGCGGCGATTTGCATAAAATGGAAAATGCATTTGGTTGTCTCGATCAAATAAAGTTGTTTGGGGGAAGACCATAGCGACCAGAGGTTGAACCATGACCCGGCCGAAACCCCCCCCCCCCCCCAAAAAAAAAAAAAAATTAAAGGGGGTGAGGGGAGGCAACAGCGCATGCTCCCCGAAAATTTTGAAATCTACGAATGTTTTCTCCTGCATTTCGAGGCAATTTGCATTTTTAGGCAATTGGAGAATTTAGTTTGGAGCATGCAATCCAACAGTCGTATTCGTAATAACCAACACACACTTTCTGGAAGCAAAGAGCTCGGGTGTCTTTTGTTTCAAAAAGGGGAAGGACAATAGTACCGTACGCTATTTCCCCATTGTATTACATCTAAAAGGTACCAGTATGTCTAGCTGTTGGCGAGCGGGAGAGATACGCAACGTTTAATTTATTTCCTAGAAATTACGACAAAAGGGTGTCTTCACTCCTCCGATTATTAAACAATTCACGGGGGCGGTCAAGTTAGGAAAATAATGAAATTGGGGGGGGGGGGGGAATTTGTAAACTACTTTACGAGCGAGCTGCGAGTCTTTCATGTGTTGGATATGAGCTTCATATCAAAATACTGTAATACAGACATCTAAAATCACAATAGAAAAGTCAGCGATAGACAAGTACAGATTTTGTACGTCTTGTTTTAATACATTCATATTTTTATTAGCACTACAATGTACATTGCTTTACAGCTGATAACCAAATAAACATAACCTAAATGGGTTACTTTTAACCTGGTTAAATACTGTTTTATTCTACATGTTTAACCAGGTTTATTTAACACAACCAGCCACAATGGGATTAACCCTGGCCAGTTTTATTACTTCGGGTCTATATTACAGTTTAATCGGGGCAGCATGATATCTCAATGGGGGTTATGTGCAAAGCCTGGTTAAAACCTGCTTTATAATACAAGTTAAGAAATTAAACGTTTGAAAATAACTTAGGTTTTCGTTGTATGTTCTCCACGCGTTAGAGAGGTGTGCAATCAACTTTCAGAAGAAGTTTAAATTCCCGATGAAAGGTCACTTTATAATCAAATCATGTACATTGACATATAATCAGACAACTTTGATAGTACCATCCACTTATTAATCAACACTGTCTTGCATTATAACAATCAAAACAAAAGTTAAAAAGAATAGCAAATGCTTGCAGATGACTTGAAAAAAGAACGTTTGCATCCAGAATGCGAACTGGTTACCAGTTAAATTTATCATTAGATGCATACAAAATCGGCTGGTAGTTATCGTTGGAGGATTTTGAAGGATTGAGGCAGTGGTCACCCTCCATCAAACAAAATCCAGAAATAATGGATGACTTTGGAGGATTGAGACTGTATCTTATATCCACATAGTAGTAGTTTGAGGATTTGTAGGATTGAGGATTCATCCTAGCAAAATGGCTTAGACGGTAAAGATTCAGTCAAATACCCCATTTAGACAAAGCCTTATAGGACAATTCGCTCTTTTCAAGTAAAGTTGCCAGATCGAGGTTCTGCATGCCCATGGTGGAAGTGTGGAAAGAGCGAATAGTCCTGGACAATTTTGGCACACAGACACTAAAGTTTCAGGGTACCAGACTTCATAAAGTTCCAAAACAACTCAGTGCATCAATTCTACGATGCACTTAGACTTTCCATTTGATAATTTTGTGTTAAACTAGAATTTTCCCAAGTTATGTTTTAAAGTAAGATTTGCTTCACACATTGACATTCCTGAAGATTCAGTTTTGGCTAAAGTTGTTTTCCGTTGGAGGCTAAGGATTAACATTTGGCTACGTGTGTACACTGAGGTTTGCACTAGTAATCTAATCCATTATAACGCATTACTGTTAAGTTAGGTAGATGTTATGTCATACTACTAAGCCGACAATGTTATTCAAAAATACATTGGGTACCAGTCAAATACAATATGTACAGGTAATATATGATACTTTGACTGGTAACCAATGTTAGGTTAAGCATGGTTTGTACATATTAAACATGTCCGCTTAGTGCATTGATAAGACTTCCACGTTTTGGCACACAAACATTTGCAACATTTCCATTTAATCAGGGGTGTGATGACACCAAAAAATGCAACCTAAAACCTTTTTCCAAAAATTGAATTTCAAATCAACAGCAAATTTGGGTCTTTCTATGAATTTCTTTTGTCAATAATCCCTCATTAAAATTCCCACACAACATTTGGAAGACATGTGAGTTGGGTATTTTACAATGAATAACAGTGTTTTGCTTCTCGTAATGACATCGCAAGTTTGGATTTTGCGGTACCACAAATGGGAATACAAAGAAAATATTTGTGACAGTATGCGACTAATCTTTCATTTGGTTGGAGCAGGTCCATCAACAAAATGTGAGTGGATACAACATGGATTTGTGTCTAACTTTGCACAAAATTTCTTCGAAGTAAGTGAACCAAAAGAAATGCAGTCTTTTCATGATTGATTCGTTTCATCAGCACCAATAAACAAATAAATAGAGCTCATGCATCGAAAACTTCCACTACTCAATCAAACAAATGTTTAAAGGTCTGTATTTATAAACCTAAAGATTGTTAATTATATGATAGATGCATCAAAAGTAATGACTTTTTTGGGGGGGGGGGGCAAATGAGAATGCTGTAACACGAGTTTCTAGGCTTCAACAACAGTTTAGTAGTTTACTGAAATCTCAAAGTTAAAGATTGTAATATGTCGTGCTTTCTTATAGTTTATGGATGGAAAAAATTAGTTTGTCTGTTACTTGGGATTTCAAAAATCTGACAACATGCCAGCGGACCTTGAAAATAATATATTGATGAACTTCTATTTATGTACAGCCCTGAAGTATGTCAGATTATTAAAACAAAAGCAAATGTTGAGAAGCCTCATAATATTTCCATTGTTGGGTGTATGCTTGTATCCTCACGTCTACAAATTGTTAATAATTTGATCTGGTACCTTTTACGCCTTAAGTTAAATAAAAAAGTAGGCTGTACATGAGACCACACATTTAAATAGGATACTGCTACAATAAACATAATTGAAGCTACAAAACGTGTAGTTGAATGAATGGTGTTTTTATAGTTGTGTTCTGGTGTTTTAGTCAAGCCTGTCACTAAATCTCACTTCTCACAAATCAATATGTCCATCACATGTCAATCACATGTCAATCACATGTCCATCACATATCAAATGACATGTCCATGACATGTCCATGACATGTCCATGACGTGTCCATGACGTGTCCATGACGTGTCCATCACATGTCAACCACATGTCCATCACATGTCCATCACATGTCCGTCACATGTCAATCACATGTCCATGACATGTCCATGACATGTCCATGACATGTCAATCACACGTCAATCACATGTCAATCACATGTACATCACATGTCAATCACATGTCCATCACATGTCCATCACATGTCCATCACATGTTCATTACATGTCAATCACAAGTCATCCAGTCCCCAGCCAAGTCATGAACAATAGTATTAAAAACAACAGTGCCAAACATAATGGGTTCTTACTGTTAATCCTTGTAAATTTTGACCAATTTTTTGACGTGACTTGTGATTTATTTGTGACCAAACTTGTAATGGACTTTACAACACTGCCATGTTCTGCTTGAGTAGCTCACTCACAGACAGTGTGAAGACCATGTGCTCTTTGATTTATAAATAATGCGGTATTCCATGTGAATTGCTTATCCACTGACTCTGATCCGTCTCGGGTAAAATCTCCAAACATAAAACTGATCGCAATCACTTCACGATAACTGTAAGTTTCAACCAAAAGCAAAAAAATAGTTACAGGGGAAATTGATCGGCATATAAAACAATGGAGACACACGCTGTCTGTAATGATGGTCACAGTCCTGGTGCAAATTCAGTTTTGAAACGAGACTAGTCAATGCAGTGGTAAATAGAGCTCTTGCGCACAGCGCCCTCTCTGAGGACAGGGTTTGGTATTTATATTCAACAGTGAAAGCATAAGGTGTCTACTCATATGTATGACAGACAAAGACGTGTCTACCGTGAGGGGCATCTATGCAACAGGGAGGGGGAGAAGAGGGGTATAATTCTATGACGTGGAGTTGTAGCCAGCAGATGAAGTACTGTTGGAGCGATATCGGAAACTACCACCATTCCCCGTGGGACCGTCAAGCATTCTACCCTCGTATGCCTGAGTGATTTTCTCAATTGTCAGAGCTTCGAAGCCCATACTCAACGTCTCGGCATCGAAGCTCTCAATCTCGGTGCTCTGAGTCTCAAGGAGATGACGTATCTGCTCGCTCTTCTCTGATTGCAACCGCACCGTGTCCTCCTCGATCTAATAAGAAATCAACAAAGAAACCTCACAGTTAGTCTTTGTCTATGTCAAGTTTCAAAGGAATATGATCGTTTATATATGACTTGCAGCTTTGCATGGCAGATAACATAAGGTATAAAGATTGCGAATAACACCATGTGGAAAGTAATATCTTCTTGGAAGAAGTGTGGTTCTGAAAAAAAACCGGTTGGTTGAGTGTAGAACTCAACGTTTCAGACAGTGTGCTCGTTCTCGGAACCACACTTCTTCCAAGAAGAGATTACTTTCCACATGGTGTCACCCACAAACTTTCTACTTTATGACTGTTTATGTCAAAAATGCTGTGGAGAAAAATGCCTACAAAGTCTATGGGATCTGGGAAAGAACAAGAAGAAAAAGAATCAGAACAACAACGGCTTTTCAGCAACTGTGTGGAGAAGCCAATTAGGCTAATTAACCTAACAGAACTCAACCCATCCAACCCCAACGGCATGTTTTGTTGGAATCTGTCAGGATGGGTACAGTACCCCTAAAAAGACAGTCTTTTACATTGGGTTGGCACACCTCCAGAATGAAAGTCAGAAATATGTGTGTGCAGTTTCCCACATGGTGTTGGAATTTACCAGGATGGGTATGGTTCCTAGTAAATCATGCTAGGGAGTTTAATTTGGTTAAAGGGCAATCCCTTGCCAAGTTTTGAGGTATATTTCTTAATCATCTTACCCGTTGCTCTAGCCTAGCTCGACGTAACGACACCCATTCTTCTAGATCTTTCTTCTCTCGCATGTGTTGTGCATCCAGCTGTAGTCGCGTTTTACTCTGATAGGCGTGCAGTAGCTCTAACTCCTGTTTCAGGGTTTCGTGCAGCTCTTTGCATTCTCGCTGTTGAGAGTCACTCAAACGAATCTGTGAGAAAGACGGAACAAGTTATAAACATATAAGCAAAATTCACATGCTTGTTTGGGTGCAAACCTCCGCCAAGACTGAATTACTCCCCGCTGTATTGTCAGTACACCCCAAAGAAATACCCACATATCCACCTGACTTCCATGACAGGATTGCTCGTATTCTGAATTTATTGAAAAACAGCAGTGTTGGCTGCTTTCCGCTAATCCGTCATGGTATGTTGTTTAAGCCGTAATCACCATGTTATGCGGCCTGTGGGCAGTGCAGCTGCTACTGGACAAAGGCCGCTGTGCAGTCATGCATGTAGGTCAGTAAAGTGAGGTTTGATAATCCCAGCATCAAGGGGTTAAAAGCAAAATTGTGGAATCTGGCCCTATCTCCCAGACCCAGATCCGGATCACTTCCAAAATCGAATTGATTTGTACTTGTACCAAGGACCACCCCTAAAAAAGTTTTCATGAAAATCGGTCCATAACTTTTTAAATTATCTTGTTCAAACAAACAAACCAACAAACCAACAAACCAACACCGATGAAAACATAACCTCCTTGGTAGAGGTATTAAAATTGATCAGTAAAGGGCACAAAAATAATTAAAATACTGAATGTTTAAAATGACATCACAATAATTCCATCAAATGTGACTTACAGATTGTGACTGAAGCATTTCTTGGCTACTCAAGCGATACTGCTCTCCTAAGATCGCCATCTTCCTCTTCTGTTCTTCTTTCATCTTCTTAGAGACACTCTTCTGTTTTTCTCTCGCAGTGTTCTGTAGGACTTGGGTTTGTAGCTGCTTGAACTGTTTCATCTGGATCTTGCAGGCGTCGTGGTACTGTTTCTTGATAGATTGTTCTTTGATCTGGAACAGAAAATAGGAGGCTATTGCATCAATTGAAAGACTTTTGTACTTAGCAGCGTTATAGAGTCCAAATAAATCACAAACAAGTCTAGTCACAAGTACACCAGTGCGAGTGCACAATAAGCTCTGGCCATGTTGCAAGAAGTCCTTCATAGAATCAATCGAAATTATTCCTGCCGAAGCACATATGGAGCACCATACTTTTGGTTAAGTTTTGGGGACAGACGGACAGACAGATGAAACAACCACCAAGTGACATTTAGAAAGTTCCTGCGATAGTTTAAAAAGATAACAAACAATTTGCCTTTGTCCTAGTTCATTTGAATAGCTTGTGACTTGACGTGACATTTGATGACTTGTGACTGACTTGTGATTGACTTGTGAAGACTTATGAGGACTTGTGATGAAGTTAAAAACTCTGGTTTCATAACCCCCTTCCTCCATTCCTAGTATTAAATGGCTACAAATCTGGAGAATGTTGGGTTGTTGTTTTGTCTCATGGCTGGGTTTCTAGGCATTATTTAACATTCCAATTTTCGTACTTCAAGGTCAAAGGTCATTTCATTATGCATTTTCTCTGCGCTTCATGATACAATTTTGGTAAATTTAATGAAATGGAGGCCATTCAAAGAGCTTTAACATGATGTACAACTTGGCTATGTAGGTGCTCTACTTTCACAGATGTTGTTCACCTGTATATCAAAACTTAACAAGCCAATTTACTAAAAAATCATTCTGAAGGCTTTTCATTTAGGCCAATCATCACACCAACTAATGTTTCAATCTGTGAGGGTCAGGTGGAAAATCATGTTGAATTGACGCAGAATGACCCTGTTCATGTCCAGTCCATGTTTCCTCCTATTTAAAGGTCCCCCCACTGGGTGTCTAGTAACCTCTACACACCTTGAGATTCTTAGGTTGTTGTTTTGTTTTCAGTCAATGTTTTCTTTCTATTTAACCCTCCCCCTTCATGTGCTGTCTAATAACTGCTACATACCTTGAGATTCTTAGGTTGTTGTTTTGTTTCCAGGCCGTGTTTCTTCCTGAGTTCCCGCTGAGCTCTCTTGTTATATTCTCCCTGGTTTGCCAACTCTGTCTCAAACTGTTTCTCCATCTGTTCACTCCTCAGGTTCTGTATCTGTTTCAGATGTCGATATTCTAGCGATTGCGTCTGTTCGTGATGACGTAGACCCATCACGTGCTCCATTTCCTTCACTATTTGCCTCTTGTGTAAGATCTAAATAAGAAAGGAAAACACTCTTACGTCAAACATAAGTTAATAAAAGTTGATTGTGCATCATTTAAGGTTGAGTGTCATGGCTGAGTGGTTAAGAGCACCAGACTCAAGCTCTGGTGTTTTTGACCTGCAGAGTATGGGTTCCAGTCTCATTCTTGACACTTGTGCCCTTAAGCAAGACACTTAACCATTATTGCTTCGTCCTTCGGATGGGACGTAAAGCCGTATGTCCTGTGCGTTGTGTGATGTACGTAAAAGAACCCAGTAACACTTATCGCTAAGAGAAGGGGTTCGCCCTGGTGTTTCTGACGGTGGCTGCTTATTGCGCCGCTGCATATTGTAAACCCTAAAGATACTACATAAAATGGGTCTGATATTTCAAATACTTCATTTAACTGTCTTTAAAATAAATTCATATTAACTAGCGCCTTGAGTACCTAATTGTTGATAGATATATGCGCTATATAAGAATTTGGTATTATTACTATTATTATTATTCAAGGTCCATAACCCCTGAAGACACAATCAACATTATAACGTGCTGCTGAATTTACATCGCTATATACAACTGTCAAAAATTTAACAACAATTATTACCCTGCTCATAAGCCATGAAATCAGTTTCATGTATCAGTATAAGTTCAGCCCAAACTGTTCTCTACACTCACAGGTGCCCATTTATACATTATCGTAAAGTGTCTTGCCCAAGAACACAAGCTACACAAACCCCTGTCAGAGTTCAAACCCACATGCCACCACTCACAATTCAAACACATTACCCACTGGAACACAGCACTCTGCATTAATTTAACAATGGAGCATGATGCTCACATAGACATTTCCTGTGTAAAGTTTCCAAATGAGTTAGATTTTTCAAAGTACCGTATTCAAATTACTTGACTATGGCTTGGCATTACACATCGCTTATGGAAGCGGCTAAATCCACTTCCCATAGACGCGTGTGTGTCTGCTAGCCGTAGCCTTCTAATTGGGATGTGGCTTTCTACTGACCTCCCTGAGCTGATCTTGTTGCTGCGTATGCTTGGACAGTATCAATCTGGCCTTGAGTTTACGGATCTCCGTGTCTAGGAACCTCTTCTGTTCTTGCAGGAGTTTCTGCTCTGCCTGCTGCTGTTGCTGCTGTAGCGATTCCTTCCGACTACGGATGACTGAATCTTGCTCCTTCTTGGGTGTGCTGTCAACCTCCTGATCAAGAGATGAAGAGAGAATGCTGCTGATTTACGGCAAGATGAATTGTATTCTAATGCAATGCTCAGACTGCCATTCAAGAGTCGCGATGAACCAAATAATTTGAAAGATTTGAAATGACCCTTCTATTGGAAAGTCAATATTCAGCGCATTATGTAGAACCTTTCAAACCCTCTCGTGTGAAGGGTTATAAAGTGAAAACCCTGCTTAATCCAACAGGATCCAACCATATTAAACACTCCCTAGGTCATGTTGGATTGAGCAGTTAACCCCTTGTATGTCTTCCTGTTGAAATCTGTTGGATTCAGCAGGCAACTGAAAACATTCAGAGGCGGATTCTGTTGGGTACTGGTAAATAACGCCAAGTTGGACTCTGTTGGATCCAGCAGCAAACAGAAAAATAAGCCACAGTTGGATTCTGTTGGATTGAGCATGCCAGTCATTTTATATGTTCAGGTGCCCAACAACTTGGCAAGTTGGGTTGTGCGGGAATGTGTTGGATTGAGCAGGAAACTATATGAGTAACCGTCGGATTCTGTTGGATTAGCAGGGTAGTCCTAGGGAACTACTAGGGGTTAGGGTTTTAAGCAACTGTGTCATCCAGAGAGTCACTGCACACAACTTGCAGTGTGGAGAGCAGTGAAGCGTGACTGAATCCACCTGCTTGCCCTGAGCTTAACGAACAAAGGAATTGTGGAGGGTTCTGATGTGTTAGTCTTGTAGTTACCTTCTTGATCTGCTCCTTGTTGATCTTATACTCTCTCTTCTGATGTTGTTGGAAGGCTTTGAGTTCCGTGTCTTGCCGTGACGTGATGGACTTCATCAGCTTCTTCTCCTCAGATACTGCCGCCTTTTGCTGTGAAAAACACAAACAAACATCTCAATCAATATTGTCCGATATATTTGAGTCACCTTGAAGCTTTCTAATTTGCCATTCAAGAATGACTTCAAAAGATTTCAAAAGATTTTTTATTTGGTCGGTAGGTAGTTGCAAATGATAATCACTCTTAGAGGATGACTGCATTAAGCCTAACTCCCCAGGCATTTTTGCTAGGATGCAGCCTCAATCCTGCAAAATCCTCCAACTGCCTCCGTGTAAAAATAGCATGCAGCCTCAATCCTGCAAAATCCTCCGTTATTTCTTGAATGTGGTCCTTGGAGGGGTGACCACTGCCTCAATCCTGCAAAATCCTCCAGCAATCACTGTCAATATATTGAGGCAGAGCCAGTGACATCCTGGAGCAGTGCAGAGGACTTCAAGTATAATCTAAACCTAAATTTATACAGCACTGTGCATAAACAACACAAGGTCCGGCCTAAGACCTTGACACAGTGCATCCTCCAAAATCAGCTCCAAATTTACAAAATGACCTGTTAATGCTAAATGCCATCAACAATGTGGCATTATGAAATGAGGTATAGGCAACAGTATCACACATTTACACTGATGCTAACCTTTCTGTCCTCCTCAGTTTGGTGTTTCTGCAGGAGTTTATCCACGTCTTTTGCATTGGTTTGTACACACTGTTCATATTCCTTGTCTAGTTTCTGCCGGAGTTCCTCCATCTCAGCCTTGAGTCTGGTCTCCAGTTGTTGTAACTGCTTCTGATGTTGTCTTCTCATTCTCTTGTAACCTAGCCAGTCAAAGATACAAGAAGGAAGTCATGTGGCTAGAACAGGGCTGTAACAAGCTTAATGGGTCCTTTATGAGTTTGCAGTCTAATGAATTGTGGATATTTTGACACCACTTTCAGAAACATCTGAAGTAACAATTTTTCAGAATTTCTAATTTTTGATGCACAGAACCAAACATGCTTGTGTTTTATTCACAGTGAATTAGAAAACGAGCGCATTCACAGATGGTAACACAAAGTCTTTCATGAGACAATATGGCCCATCAGGCCGGCGTTTATCTCCAGTTTCCTTGGCATGAAATGACTGAGACTAATTCTATTCCCCCTGGATGGTATACCAGTCCATCGCAGGTTACTCCCCAGCTAATGCCGGTACCCATTTATACTCCTGGGTGGAGAGAGGCAAGTGGGGGTGAAGTGGCTTGCCCAAGGACACAACATATGACCAGCAGCTGGATTCAAACCAATGACCCTCTGATCATGAGTCACGAACCTAAACCACTAGGCCACATTCCCCCACAAATTCACTGTTTACATAACACTTATGTACTGAGCATAATTATTAAAACTGACACACCAAATTTCATAACAATCAGTCATTGCATTTCCGAGGTACGCCCCCCCCCCCCCCCCACTACAAGATGTAGAAAGATCCCCAGTTCTTTTAGGATTACTTTGGTTATCAGGCCCTTTAGCCAGCCCTGCCTGACAAGGTTAATTCTCATGTTCTTCTTTCCACATTTAATGTACCTGTGAATTGTTCGCGCATTTCGCTTTCATGTTCCTTAGCCTGCCGTTGCACAATACTTGTCGGCCGAATGGTTTTAAATTGGTCCTCTAGATTATCAGAACCATCTGCATAGCTACTGAGACTTGTACCGCTGGACATCTGAAACAAACAAGAAATGAAAAACATTATAATGGTGAGATTTACAGCCACCGATGCAAACATACATGTAGTACTGTAATGGACTCCGTGCATGAACAAAAGAGGGCGCTTTAAGACCAAGTTTGAAAGCCTAAACATAGAGGCCGCTTCATACTTTACAGGAACGCCAAGTTAATTTAATGTCACGAAACATACCTGTACACCCTCAAAATTCTCCGAAATTGAAATGTATTCAACTTTTGTGAATTCCCATACAAGGACTTGAACTAACATCACAAATGTGTTCACGTTCGCTTTCGTGCTGTCTATGGAACGGCCTTATTGTACAAAGAATGCATGACTTAGTTTATTCTGAGTGTGCAAAATCCACAGTGGTCTCCCCAACTCTCCCTATCTGAACATTGAGGGGGTACTACTTGAGCACTGAGTCCACATGAACTGAGTCCACATGACATTTAGTACTCACGCTAAGACAATACACAAAGCTCTCTCATGCTTAAGTCATGTAGCGCCCTCTACTGTTCATTTGCAGAGTCCACATGATAAGTTAATACAATTCTAAATAAAGACAAGCTGATGTACGGTGCACCACAGGACAGAGTCCATATCCAGTTGAAGAAATTGCCAATTAGCATTTGTTTTAATCTGGATGAGGATTAAGCAGTTTTATTGAAGATTTTTCAGGCACACGTGCATAATGTTTTTTTTTCCATGAAATGTTTTTTTGTATCCGTCCTGATGCGTTTGTCTGTGTTGTCCGCACAACAAGCTAATAACAGAAATGTTTGATTGTGTTTAAATTTTTGCACAGAAATTACGTATTTCTAGAGTAAAACATGTTCAGTTTTTAAAAGATAAAAAGGAAGTTGATGCTGATCAATGTAAGAAAATTTTGATAAAAAAATCCAGAAGAAAAAGTAAAGTTTGAAGAAGATCACAAAAAGTACAGGAAAATGCAACATGCAGTTGCATGAATTATGCAGTAAAATAGTAAACAAGTACAAGTGTAGCTGCTGAAATAGAGTAATACTTCCGTTACATTACAACAGATATACATGTAGTTTACTGTAACACAAGCGGAATGTTTTAAGGACATACAAAAGTGCATGACAAGCAAATTACACAAAGAACAATTTCAAGGCTATACATAAATGGGCTATAATGTTCGACACAACAAAAGTGAAAAACAAAACAAGGAATATGAAGTCTTCGTATGCAGACTTTCACATGATATATCAACTCAATGACCCTGAATATACGTATATCAACACAAATCCACAAATGTAACAAAAACGCCCGTTGTCATGGTAGTGTAGAAAACACTGAACAGCTCACAAGAAGAAAAATATTCCCAATTACAGATACGTAACAAATATAAACGTGACGTCACCCAAGGGACATAACGACTTCCAACAATGACATCATGTTTGAAAGTTACAGATGATCGTCCGTTAGAGAGTTATTTACGACAGTAAAGCATAATGCAGACAGATACATTTATTACGGCATGCAATATGGCCGACACATGGAAAGCACAGACACCATCAAGTACCCATCATGCACCATACTACCCAGCATGCCCTAGGCTTCCCATCATGCAAACCATCCACATGCTGGAGTGCTATAGGCCGTAGCAGCGGTCTGGTACCTTTCTTCTATTCCTCTGATAGCCCATCTTCATGGCATAGCTGGCGTGATTGTTGGGGCCTTTCAGGGAATGATAGCCCAATGATATGTCTTGGGACCGGCCCAGGGTTAGATCTTGGGCCGAGCTGTATCCCGAATGCATAGGAGGAAGACCGCTGTATGCTTGGCAGTAGTAAGGATGCTGGTTGGCATGGGAACGGGGGAAGTGTTGAAGATGATAATGGAATGATTAAGATGATGTGCAGGATTAAGAGACGATGCTAATATAAATGTATTTTTAAGTAATTTGTTAACTTATGGCCTAACACTAACGTCAGTTTTCAAAGTGATACACTAAAACATGGCCTACAAAGCTCAACTAGCGTTACTCACATTTTGTGCAACTTTCTACTCCTCTTAAATGTATAAAAACTATCTGACTTTCCTTTTTGGTCAATTTGATTGAACTGTGCACTTTTTTAAACATTAAAAATTTGCCATGCTTTTCCTGACAACTGAGGGCGCTGTTGCTGTGTTGCCATTTCAGGAAGTCACTGTTCAGTTTAGAGGTTTTCAGTTCAAATTGTGAACCCAACCATTTCGTTGAAAACATTTGTGAGAAAAGTTTGCTCATTGGCTTACTGTCATGTACTGACGCAGCAACGAATCACCAAAGAAAAGAGAATTTACAACAGTAAAATATCCAAAATTCTGGCAAGTTTTGATGCTGAAATGAGTGCAACATTGAGGTTTCTTCCTCAAATGACATCACACTTTTGCTCATGAATATGGAAATTTTCATTAGCATAAAAACAAAACGGCACCAAAATACCCTTGAAAATGGCAAAATGAAAATTCAACATATAGTAATGGGACACAAGGGTGCATTTTTACGGACTGCATCAAAAAAATAAATAATTACATGGGCCCTTTTAAGATGCACTGGTCTCTGCATTAGTTTGTTTCGCAAATTACTGTCAATAAGTTACATCCAGTGTATGGCCTAACTCTATGTCGAATGAGAAATCAGCTACTATTACCCGATCAAAGCACAGATCCAATTTAATGTGGGGGAAGTGAGTGAATGAAAATGCAGCTTCAGTGTGTGTTCAACAAAATAAGCACATGAAACAGAAATCATAATATTCATTCTTTGTGAACATATCCGTGATTGATTTCTTCCGAACGGTTCAAACTCAAAGCTGTGCCTATCTCATATCTACATTTACTGACACAAATGTTACTAGTACTGACAATCGTACAGTGTTTTTGTATTGGTCATGCACTTGCACGGTTACTGAATTTCGTTAATGTTTAGAAACTTGTGTTAAATTTATTTTTTTAAGTTAGTTGAATTATTTCACAACGTTTGTTCTTAGGACACAGCAAAACCAAGCTTTTTGCAGTCAGAAAATACTCGTGCCACTTTTGAAAATGTTCAATTTGAATATCCCTTCCAGCCTTTCATCATATGCATAAATTTAGGCTTAAAGTTCTAATGCTTCTCAAATATTCAACAAACTATTTGTTTGTGCATCAAATGAATTGAAATTCACAAATGCTATAAAACCCCTAGCTACATTCATGTACATGCAAGCTTTAAAAATTGTATGCACCAATAGACATGACCATAGTACACTGCATGAAAGATACCCATGTGATAGTCGTCTGCATGGCGTAGCATTTGTGAAATGAATGAACACGTTTGTTTAAGAACTCTTGAATAAAGAATGAAACATCTCTAACGTGATCACTTACTCAGAGACCATTCCTAATAATATCTATCACGACGGCCCCCTTTAATGGGGAAAGCATTGTGTAGCTATTGCTCAGGTAATTTGTAACAGGGCAGTTGTTTTGTACAATAGCATACACAATGGTTTCTCCATTAAAGGGGGCCTCGTGATGTCTATAAAAGGAGTCCAAGTGCGCTACCCAAAATTTGATTTAAAAAGTACAATTTTCCTCGAACGGTTGGAAGTACCAACCTCGATAACCTGGTTGCATCTGATGTAAATTAGTCCAGTTATTATTAACAACAGTTCTTGATAAAACATGCTCCTAATGAATAACGTTAGCAACTACAGCATGAAAATGTTGCATGGGGAGTTAAGCAATTGTGCCAAGTTTCAAGGTGTCAAATCTAAAATGCCTCTTTCCAAGTATGTTAGGCATTTTGACCTGACTACACTACTACAGTAAGGAAACAACACTTTGAAGTTTCCATGAATTGTTAAACACCCATTTTGAACTTGCATTCCAGAGTGACTCAAATACAATTTGGTTCCATACAGGCAAACTTCATGTATTAATTTTCCGTTGACCAGAGCGTCGTCAGGCATCAAAACACTCTAGTTGTGTTTATCGGACTAATGCAACACTGAATCAATCAATCAATAAATCATTGTTCTATCGTCTATCAGACAGCACTGAGCGGCTAGATTAAATCTAAATTTACCAGCTAAAACTATTGCAGTGTACAAGTGGAAGCTCGAACCTAATATAAATCTTTTATAATTTAGTACGACTCTGAAACACAGAACTGAAATGAATTTCCCAACAATTTCGGACGGATTATTTTGACAAATCTGGACGAGATCTTTGATGTAACATAGTTCGATTATTCTATAAAAATGGGGCCAACGTGTGGCATTTTTCCAGTCCTTTACCTCGGTACTACTTTGCAATTTGCCGTTCAAGTGTCATTAAGAATGACTTAAAATGATTTTGATTATGTTGGTTAGATTTTTTCTTGGAGGATGACTGCATTAAGGAGTGCATCAGAATTATAAAATCATAGATGTCAGATGTAACAGAGACAGTAAAAAAGTGGACCCCACATTTATAGAAATGTTCCATCTCTAAAACGTCTCCACGTACAAAATTACTTGAAATCAACAAGGAATAGGGAAACGGCCGACTTACCCTGGAGTCCCGTGAGAAACTATCAAACTCCGCGGATGGGCCTGGAAGACTATTGATGCTACCACAGTTACTGCTACTCTGTATGCTGTCCTGGATGCTGTGTTGACTACCTATACTGTTGCTCTGACTGGCTTTACCTCCGAACACGTCGTCACCCTGTGAAGAAGACCGCGGGTTAAGAACGAGGAAACGGGGAGGAACAAAAACAAATAAAAAAATTAGTCTATGGACCCAATGTACATGTATCCCTTGACAAAGTAAAAAATTGAAACTGCCAACACAGGGCTGGATAGCTCAGTTGGTAGAGCACCGGAACGGCAATTCGGAGGTCGCAGGTTCAAACCCTGCTCCAGTCAATTTCTTTGTTTAACTCCAAAACTTGGAAAAAGTTAAGATTAGGGACACTAGGTTTGTGCACATCAGGCTGGGCATTAGCCTTTCATATTCATTAGGTTTTTTCCAAGGTTTCTTCATTGTGAATAGTATCGAAACCAATCAAAGAATTTCACTATTAACCAGTTTGCATTGGTGAACGTGATAACACGCACTGGCTGTTTTTATACACAGGCACGGCTGATGGTTTAAAACGTCACGACTGCCTCGACTCGCCTCCGGGTGACATCTAAACACGCTAATCCCTCGTGCCTTTTGTACACACACAAAGTCCGTGAAGTCTGTGGAGGCGGACCGTGTGTTGATCTGGAATTGGCCGTTGTGCATGGCCTATTGTTGTACAATTGACGCTCCAGTGCACACCCCCGAGTATTGAAACATATGAGGTTTCGGCAAGAAATATCGTACAAGTACTATTGAAATGACTCTTGTGAATCAGTATTTTTGGCGTTTGGCTGTATATTAGAAGTTGGCTGGAAAATGTTGCCTTTTGCAAAAATCTAAATTTTCAGCAAAAATAATACCGGTTCGAAATGGTAATAAAAAAAATCGAAGTAGCGAATTACAATGTAAACATATTACAGCGACACAAGACAAAGCATAGACATATACATTTGGATTACTATAAATCCTCATTAGCTACAAATTAAAAACAAAACTGAACATTTTAAACAGAATCAATACAGACCATGTCAACGGTGATGTCAACCTCATAGGCAACCAACAGGCAAAATATTAGCGTCTTGCTTTGCCAAAACAGTAAAATGGCAACACTTTTAAGCCACTCCTATTTCAAGAGATCTATATGCAGTGCCGAAAAGAACAGTTTTCTGTAGTTGGCATCATGTGAGCAGATCAACCATTTTGTAAACAGATGAGACATGTCGGTACATTTCTACAGTTCATCTTACCTTGGTCGGTTTCATGTCAACAAACACATTGCAAATATTCCACTCAATGAAAGACCATGAAATTATACTTTGGAATATGTATAGAGTACGATCAACCAGAGACGAACTAAAATCCCTTCCTTCGATCGAGCAGATCTTCAAACAATGCCTTGTACCCGGAAACACTGCACAAACAAACCATTTCTTATGTGTTCTTAAGGATATTGAACTAACCTGGGAAAAACACAATTACTATCACTTTCATTAACATTGAACAAAAATGTATCAGTTTCAACTCCAAGAATAAACAAAAATCCTGAACATGGAACCCAAGTGGCCTTGATCACGACACTTGTCCCCCCAAAAATTGTCACATCAATGAATTGTTACAATTGGTTCGATTATTACCCAACAAGAATGCCCCTTCTATGTTACAATAATGTATTGTGACGTTCAACAGGATGAGTAACTTTCCAGGAAACTGCAGGTTATGAGAGTTCAGTACTTCCAGGGTTACCAAACGGATTTCACAATGACCAATCATGCCTGTATTGATCTGAATCATTTTCCTTTCGTAATTGTCTTTGGTATATGTTTATCATACCAGTGCACTTTATTGAGGTTTTGGCAAAATGAATAATGTACTTGTACATTCAATGTCAGATTGTTTTCAACATGTTGAAAATGTATGCAGGATCAAATAATTAAAAATTGTTGACAGCTGTGATGTGGGATATGACGTTTTTAACACCCGAAGGGCGCATAGCACCCCGAGGTTAAAACGGCATATCCCACATCACAGCAGTCAACAATTGTTTTGTTATATCGTGCAAAATTTATGCAGTGTATTTTGAATTTGTCATTGTGAGGTGTGGTGACAATTAAGGGTAACTGGTGGAGAATTTCTCAGTTTGGTGCAGTGGTTCTTTCCTCGCCTTCCACCGCTCAGATCACATGTGGATTGGGTTTCAGTCCCTGCCTGATTCTGTGGGTTCCCCAGAATATTCTTCTGGGGTTTTCCTCCCACCTCTAAAACTGTAATTTCTTCCCACTGTCTTCTCTCCACAGGTTTCTTCAGGCTTGTGAGCTACAGTGCCTAGGGCGCTTTTGAGGAATCCTTGGTTTCATTACCAGAAATAAATAATCATTACTAATAATGATAATAACATCTCCTAGTCTGTAGGACCAAATTGAATAGGGATCGTAATTAATTACTACGAAGCTCATGACAGGCTAGTCTAAACTGCAAAAACACAAAACTAGTCACAAATCTGTTGCTGTTAGCTATACCTACTGCTAGAGCCCATCAACAACTAGACCAGTAATCTCCTAGTATTTCTGTACTTCCTAATTACATTAGCCGTCAGCATGTAAGCATGCATTCAGCACATGTTCTCAATACCGGCTGTGAGGCAGGAACTGTGGTCTCCTGTGCCACTTGCTCCTACTTGTCAGGATGAGGTTCTTGAAAGGTTTGGATTAAGGAACAATACCTTCCAATAAGTCCACATCCTGAAATGTCTAAACTGTTTAAGTTTAAGGTCTTCTCAACTTCAACTTGTGCTACAATGATAACTTGAATAATAATATCTTACGCATGTTTGGATTTTCGCTAGAGCCCTGTGATATATACAATGTACTAAAAAACTGCAACCTTCGGGAAATATTATGGCAGACAATTGTACTGGCATGGAGTTACTTTCAAAGGAATTCTAAAGATTATCAATTGAGTAAGTCCATCTCATGTGTATCATTCCATAGCTACTCACGGATTCACTGAGTGAGACTCAATCTTGAGCGAGTTTATCATGAGAATCATTCCATAGCTACTCACCGATTCACTGAGTAAGACTCAATCTTGAGCGAGTTTGTCTTGAGAATCATTCCATAGCTACTCACCAATTCACTGAGTAAGACTCAATCTTGAGTGAGTTTGTCATGAGAATCATTCCATAGCTACTCGACGATTCACTGAGTAAGACTCAATATTGAGTGAGTTTGTCATGAGAATCATTCCATAGCTACTCACCGATTCACTGAGTAAGACTCAATCTTGAGCGAGTTTGTCATGAGAATCATTCCATAGCTACTCACCGATTCACTGAGTAAGACTCAATCTTGAGCGAGTTTGTCATGAGAATCATTCCATAGCTACTCACCAATTCACTGAGTGAGACTCAATCTTAAGCGAGTTTGTCATGAGAATCATTCCATAGCTACTCACCGATTTACTGAGTAAGACTCAATCTTGAGCGAGTTTGTCATGAGAATCATTCCATAGCTACTCACCGTTTCACTGAGTGAGACTCAATCTTGAGCGAGTTTGTCATGAGAATCATTCCATAGCTACTCACCGATTCACTGAGTAAGACTCAATCTTGAGTGAGTTTGTCATGAGAATCATTCCATAGCTACTCACCGATTCACTGAGTAAGACTCAATCTTGAGTGAGTTTGTCTTGAGAATCATTCCATAGCTACTCACCGATTCACTGAGTAAGACTCAATCTTGAGCAAGTTGGTCATGAGAATCATTCCATAGCTACTCAACGATTCACTGAGTAAGACTCAATCTTGAGCGAGTTTGTCATGAGAACCATTCCATAGCTACTCACCGATTCACTGAGTAAGACTCAATCTTGAGCGAGTTGTCATGAGAATCATTCCATAGCTACTCACCGATTCACTGAGTAAGACTCAATCTTGAGTGAGTTTGTCATGAGAATCATTCCATAGCTACTCAACAATTCACTGAGTAAGACTCAATCTTGAGTGAGTTTGTCATGAGAATCATTCCATAGCTACTCACCGATTCACTGAGTAAGACTCAATCTTGAGTTGGCATGAGAATCATTCCATAGCTACTCACTGATTCACTGAGTAAGACTCAATCTTGAGTTGGCATGAGAATCATCCCATAGCTACTCACTGATTCACTGAGTAAGACTCAATCTTGAGTGAGTTTGTCATGAGAATCATTCCATAGCTACTCACCGATTCACTGAGTAAGACTCAATCTTGAGTTGGCATGAGAATCATTCCATAGCTACTCACTGATTCACTGAGTAAGACTCAATCTTGAGCGAGTTTGTCATGAGAATCATTCCATAGCTACTCACCGATTCACTGAGTGAGACTCAATCTTAAGCGAGTTTGTCATGAGAATCATTCCATAGCTACTCACCGATTTACTGAGTGAGACTCAATCTTAAGCGAGTTTGTCATGAGAATCATTCCATAGCTACTCATTGATTCACTGAGTAAGACTAAATCTTGAGCGAGTTTGTCCTGAGAATCATTCCATAGCTACTCACCGATTCCCTGAGTTACTGAATCCAATTCAAGTGAGTGTCATAAAACCACAGCTACTCATCGATTCACTACTCACCAAATCACTGAGTTGACTGCATTTTGCATGACTAACATCTATCTAAAGCTACTAACCAATTCACTACTCACCAATACACTGACTGCATTTTGAGTGAGTGACATGAGTCCAGTGCTACTCACGGATTCCCTACTCACCAATTCACTGAGTTATTGGCTGCATTTTGAGTGACTAACATCTATCTAAAGCTACTAACCAATTCACTACTCACCAATTCACGAACAGACTGCATGCATTTTGAGTGATAAGTTCCAAGCTACTCACCGATTCGCTACTCACCGATTCACTAACCGAATCACTCACTCCATCTTCCGGATCCTCCTCGCCTCCTTCCCCTTTGTTCAGATTGAACGTTTCTGTCATGAGAATCTTCCTCATCTTGCGATAGTTAAGGTTGTCTAGTTCCCTGACTACTCGCCGTGTTCTTTCAATCAGATCCAGGATGACGCTGTTCATACGGTCTCGTCGAATGAACTCATTCTGTGGATGTAATGACATTGAGATTCATGAAGTAAGTAAAGCTAGAAGGCATGTAATGGCAGCCGCCATATGACCAATGTCTCACTACGGAGCACAGCCAGATCAAAAGTGCTGATTTTTGCAGAGGGACGAAACCAGAAGAACCCAGACAAAAACCCTCGTGGCACAGGAGGGAATGAACGAACAACTTTACTCACAAATGACCCGAGCCAGGAATCGAACCCAGGCCACAGCTGTGAGAGGCAACGCTTTACACACTGTGCCACCCATGCCACACCAAGTTTAAGTTCCATGAATGTTCTCATGGATTCCTGCTCATTGGATTGAATGATTCAGAGCAGTTCCAAGCAAAAACACAAAGTTGGTTGTGGATTAATCTTATCTTGATTTCTGCCCGACTTACCGCGCATAGCTGCACCGCCGTCGGTCTGTGCTCTGGCTCCTTAGCTAGACAGGTCTCCACGAAGGATCTGAAGGCACTGGACCACTCGGTGGAGTTTCCTAGACTCGGTGGGTCATTCTGAGCGATGTGATACAGGGCACTCATGGCATTCATGTTGAATAACGGAGGTTTCCTCTCCGCTGCAAAAGCAACACAACCACACAATAAGGTCAACTTCATCTATTCCGACCATTTCATTAATTCTACATGTTTTGTACTCTGTGCACGAAAACCTAGATGACACTTTGTGACTAGTTGTGACTAGTTGTGACAGCTGTGTGTGTGGGTGGGATACGCTGCATGCGCATACTGGGTCATGAGTGTATGGCTTAAAATATGCATGTTCAATTTTCATAAGAATGTTTACAAACCCCCATCGCTTACGTATTGGCACATGAGATAAGAGAGTTCATGGTTACAGTCAAAATGTTGAGTTGTAGTTAATCCATCACAATCCGGTCACAAATAAATCACTAGTAGATTCACACGTCCAGTCACTAGTAACAGTCAAGCCACAAGTCGGGACACAAGTCGGGAAACACGTCGGGACTTAGGATTGACTTGTGATGAACTTATGACTGGACTTGTGATGGACTTGAGATGGACTTGTAATGGACATGTGATGGACTTGCGATGGACTTGTGATGGACTTGTGATGGACTTGTGATGGACATGTGATGGACTTGCGATGGACTTGTGATGGACTTGTGATGGACTTATGATGGAATCTACTACAAAACTGATATTTGCTACAATGAAATTCTAAGAAAAGGCAAAAAGCAAAATTGAGACTTTGAAGTGACTTACCTAGCTCAATACATGTAATGCCTAGTGACCAGATATCCACTTTGCCGTCATATTGACCTTCGTCCATGGCTAGAATCACCTCAGGTGCCATCCTGTAATGGATAACATTACATCATCAATTTCACTAAGAATCTCTTCTACAAGCAAACACTGGTTCTGAAAAGAACTAACTTGAAACCAGTCTCTCGAACTTTGTTCATCATGTAGAAACAGCAGTGTGACTTATGGGCTTCGTGCGCCAACGAAAGAGGGCGCCCCTTTACCTAGCAGCGCCAACGAAAGAGGGCGCCCCTTTACCTAGCAATGACGTCCCATGGGTGGTTGATGGTGGTTGATGCTGGTTGATGCGCACTGTTCCTTGTGTGTGACGCATGTGCACCAGGGGATTTGTACTATGTACACGCAGTGGTACGTACGGCTGCGCGTCGCGGCAAAATTGCAGTCAGGCAAGATGGCGTCGGTCGGTCACCCCCGACTGTACTCTCTTTGCCAGTGAGGGGGTACTTGTGAACGGAGCGGATACAGAAAAAACCTGGCATACACTGTGGATTGTTTCCCGTACTTACCAGTATGGAGTACCCACAAAGGAGTTGGCTGGGCTTAGAAATGATGCAGAACCAAAATCAGCTGGGAATAGAACAAAGAAAAGACACTGTAAGCAAAGAAACTTTAATAACAACCTTTTTTTTAAGCACTTTATAGTCCATGTATCTGACAGATTGTGAGAAAATTTACAAGCTTACTTGGTGGGACTTGAACCCACGACCTCCTACTTACTAGAGCAGATGTCTTACCACTCGACCACAGAGCTTACTGGGGTTACGTGGCTAGTTCAAATTTAATATAGCAGTTGGTACTGCAATCACATAAAGGAGGAGTGTGGCCTAGTGGTTAGGGTTTGTGACTCATGATCAGAGGGTCAGGGGTTCAAATCCAACTGCTGGCCATATGTTGTGTCCTTGGGCAAGCCATTTTACCTCCACTTGCATCTCTCCACCCAGGAGTATAAATGGGTACCAGCATTAGCTGGGGAGTAACCTGCGATGGACTGGCATCCCATCCAGGGGGAATAGAAATATTCTCAGTAATTTCATGCTACTGAAACCGGAGATAAACGCCAGCCTGATGGGCCACATTGGCTCGTGACAGACTGTACTACTGATATCACATACCTAGTTTGACGGTTCCGTTGTCTGTGAGTAGTATATTGCCTGCTTTGATGTCTCTGTGTATCCGTTGGTTACTGTGAAGATAGACTAAACCATTCAGGGCATCTTCACATATCGCTGCTATTTCGTCCTCTTGTAGTGGCTTTTTATGAACTGCAGTGTTCAGAAAAAGTGAAAAAAAATTATGCAATTGTTGCCATGTTTACAGAAACTGATGATTTTAAAAAGTACCCATTCATTTCAATTGAATAATAGTTGAGGCAGTAGGTTACATAAAAAAGATAGTTATGTAAGTAATTTAGGACTAAAAATACTTGACATTTTCCATATTTAATTCTGTGTCATGAGACATACAGCAACAACAGTTTGTTGGGTGCCCGGCAGAAGGGCATATGAGCGTTGTGATGCGAAAATTACTTTCAAGAAAATTGCATTGAAAGGCTCCAATGTTCCCCCACGCATATAATAAATCCAAAATTCTCCCACACATCGTACAAATTTTACATTTGTCACACGTATGAATCATAATTTTTCGAACAACTAGTGTTAATCTCCGACGGAAATTTTACATTTTCATTAAAATGGAGGCTGTTTTCTGCATATATGCCCTTTTGCTGGGAACATTTTGGTGATTACTTGTTTATGTAATAACATACTTTCGTATCTTGTATAATAACTACATATTTACTATTTAACATTCATAACAAATACAATGGAATTGCTAGTATAAGTTCCTTTTAATAAATAATTTATTTATAAGTATTTTGTTGTTGTAATACTCTGTTTAGAATGACATCTTAAAATTGATAATTTAAAATACATTATTGACCCAAAAATTAAGTATTATTTATTAATAACATGTTTGAAATGCACTAAATTGGACTCTAACATATTTTCCCCACTTAAATACAACTTATATTTCCTTATCTTCATCAGTGACCCAAAAGGGCATTTTATCTTCGACCTTTTGGTATAATGTCAAGGCCATTGTATACATGGTCCCTTGATTTCAAGAATTAAACTTTATCGAGGTACTTACCTTCTATAATATCAGATGCAGATCCTAAACAATACTCCATAGATAACTGCAACGAGATAACAAACACACAGATTACTAACAAGCCGATTAAATATCACGATAAATCAAATACACAAAAGATATATTACATCCCAAAGGGCTCTAATTCTGTTGTATTCAACAACAGTGTGCATGACCTTGACATTTCAAATCCTACAATTCACGAACCCACCAAAATGTAGAATAACAAATTGGCAAGTATGGGGTTCATTTTCTCTGTCTGGTGGAAATATACCTTTTATGCATGGATCATTCTATAAATTGGGGTGTAGTTTTTTTTCCTGTCCCTGTTACGACTGACATCTATGATTGAATAACTTTGATGTACTCTTTAAGTGTTCTCCAAGAGTGATTATGAATAGCAAACTACATACCAAAAAATAAAGAATCATTTGAGGACAATAATGATACTTGAAAGGCAAATTACAAAGTACCAAGAAAACAGGGACTAGAAAAATGTCGCACTTTGGACCCTACATTTATAGAATACCCAACATGTACACGAGAGAAGTATGAGGAACGTTAAGTGATTGTTTAAACATGCTACTAAGTTGTTTAAACACGCAAGTCAAAAACATGAACACACAATGTGGATATGTAGTAGGAAAAAATGTGGCAGTCATATAAACCTATAGAACATTATCATGTTGCAGCCATCATGATTTTTTCCATTCAAATCAACATTACCTAAGCGAGGCTGGAAGGAAAAATAGTCTGGTTCCTTTTTACACAAAAACAATTATAATTCAGTACTGTTAATGGATACAGGGAACATGACTGAAATGGTGGCAGCATGATAAAGGTCTATTGTATCAAACATGTACATGTACTGTCCCGTTAAGCTAGTTTCACATGCAGATGTTATAAGAAATATTAAAAAGTGCACTTTGACTGTAAGTGCCAATGCATAGTTCCTTATAGTTGGATCATAATCGTTGATTCCAAGTTGCCAACAATTAGACCAAAAAGTCACATCGGTCAACGTGAGGAAACCACATTGCATTCCAGGGCAGAAGGGATCGCAATACAGCAGGACAACAAGGGGAAGTGGATTGCACTCTCACGGCAAATCGCTACGTAACTGGAAAGAGGAAATAGCCAGTGATATCAAGGCAGGAAGGAAGGGCAGGGTGGAGCTGCATCCAGAAATATCACGTGACCCTGTCATGTGACCAGCTGCTTTCAAAGTCATGTGACTAGCTGCTTTTGTAGTCATGTGACTAGCTGCTTTTGTAGTCATGTGATCAGCTGCTTTCATGGTATTCGTAACATAAAATTTTACGTGGTAATGTAAATTCAATATTAGGTTTTGCCCATAAACACCGTATCTGCACTCGTAAGCAGGAGGTGGTGGGTTCGAGTCCAACCCGAGTAATTTTTTTCTCACAATTGCTCAGGACAACACTCGGGTCAGTGTTTTCAGAAACAATTCGGTGAACAGCAAAACCCAATTTAGAATTTGCTGTCATGGTCATCTGATGCTTTCTTGGCCATGTGATCAATTCTATCTTGGTCATGTGATCAATGCCTTCACGGTCATGTGATTAACTGCTTTCAGGGAAACAAAGAATTTGAGTTCCTTTCTCTTTCATCCTTTTATGATACTCGGGAAAAATATATGAAAATCCTGTTAATGGTACAGAGTTGGAATGCAAGCATAGCGATTGTTTTGTTGCCTCCTGCTTTGAGCGCAGACAGAGTTACAGCCAGCATATCCTGTCTATGATATCAGTTGTCACTAATGAAGGTGTGTGCATGTCAAACAAGGACGAGTTATGATAACATCACTGGCTAATGACGTCTACTGAATCCTGAAACTCAAACTGCGTAATAAGTAAGCAGGCATTGTGACCGGATGCACTGAAACATGAGAGAAAATGCAGGTTTTACCGCCGGCAATACTGTACATTAGCAACTGTGGACATTATACGATGGGCCTGAATATAATTTGTTTATAATTTCAAATGGTTGCGATCCTTCACATGTGTTGAGTACATTTCTTGCATACTGTGTTACTGCCAAAACCTTCAAAATATTTCACTGTGGTAATGTATCAAAACGTGTTTGAGAATTACTGAAACCATGACACAGAAGACTAATTTGACTACCCAGATGGGAACATCGACCAATGAAATGCGCCTGTTTGGCTTATGAATATGTATGAGTTGTAATACTAATACGTACCCATGCTGTGTGTTCTCGCAGGTAGCACCCTTTGTATTCTATCGTGTTCTTGTGTTTGACTTGACGTAAGAACCGGACTTCCTTCACTATGTCTTGCCATTTCTGGAATAAGGACGGACCATTAAAGCCAGTAGATCATATAAAAGTTACATAAAATAACTTCACTTCTTCAAATCAGGATATTTATTTTTGAAACTTTTTTGAAACTGTATTAACATCATAAAGGCAATGTACAATATTTGCAAACATTTATAAAGAAACAACCAAATGATTATGAAATACCTTACTTGACTGTAAGTGAATAATAGTCTCAAGCATCCTGCGAAATAAATGCACCTGGTCTGCTGTCATATTCAAGAAAAGCGGAATTTTGTATCATTCTCCAAGGATGTTCAGCCTAACCATCGTTGGAAAAAAAATGGCTGTTTTTCCAAATACTGCCTCCAACTGACTGAATTTAGTTAGTCCACATTTTGTTTGCAAATTCAATTATATAAATGTATCTGTGAACGGGAGCAAGCCAGCAAGTCTGGTTCCCTGACCTGACGATTCCCTGATGTCTATATACTGTTGTGTTTCGTCTGAAGCGTCAGGTCGGGAACCAGTCTAAAAGAACAGCTATTTTCTTGGGTTTTTTTTTTTGCATTCATGAACACAGAACTTTAAACAGGTCAGAAGAACGATATTTAATAAGTGAGAGGTTTGCGGTAACACCATGTGGAACTATCTCTTTTGTGAGTACAATGTATGTGTGGTTCTGAAGAGAACCTATTGGCTTAACTCGACGTTTTGAACACAACGATATTTGCTATAAAATACTAACCCCCCAAATCCATCCCTTTCTGAAATTACAGTAAAAGCAAATACTGCATAATTACTTTGAAATCATTGAAAGCCACCTCAATATTTACTAAAATATAAGCGTTTAACTCAATTGCTCATATTAAAAAATGGAATGACATGGGGATGCGCAAAATATCCTGACTAAAAAATTAATGTCGGACAGTAATCCTGTAAGTCAACATGTTGGTATGACAACGACTCGAACTGGTACTATGCATGTTGCCATGACAACTACTTCCTCAAGTCCTGCCCTTTGTACAACGTCTGCATCACTCAGACCTTCAGATATAAATAGAATGATTCCTGATTACGTCTTCAATCTTTCCTTCACTACACTTTGAATTAAAGTCATTTATATCCGGTGATAGTCATTAGTGCGCTGGAGGCTGCATCCAATTTACTAGGCCATGGCTACCAGTAATACACCTGTCTATGGGAAGTGGCTTTAATGGCTTCCATAGGTATGTTTGTAATTGTAAGTCGTAGCCATGTTATTTGGACTACATGTGGCTATAGTGATGATATGATTGTACTCACCTCATTAGATGATTTGCCGCTGTATGACATCTTCTTAATTGCAACCACCTCTCCCGTTCTGGTGTTACGAGCCTGCAAACAGAAATCAGACGGCAAATTAACACAAATGTGTTGGAAGAAATTCTCAACTGTCAAAAAATTTGGGCAATTGTTGACATAAATATGAGAAGAATTTTCGAGGATTGGAATTTTTTTTTTAAATGAGGATCTAAGTGGTCTTCTCTTTCCAGGGGTAGAATTAAATAGCTCCCTAAATTTCATATAATGACTCAGCACTGAATTGTGTTTGCTTGGATGCTGATTATAACATTGTCAGTAGCTGAATGAACTGATTATAGACACAAGAGTGGTACCATTAATCATTTCAAATAAGGACATAATAGGGTGGTGGAGCAGTTTTAACATCTGTTTTAAAACCAGGTAGGGGCCCAAGCCGAAGGCATTACAGGTTTAAATACCTCTACCATGTATTATCAGCAACTGGTTTAAATATTTCTCAGCAGTGTTTAAACAGCGGCTTAAAACCATCCATATCATGGGCTCTCGACCAATAGGAATCTAAGTAAACCGTCTCAGGTATTTATAATTTAATGGTAGCCCTAACAGTCATGAATCCTCCAATTTATATTTTGCACACCCTAGAGAGTTAGGGTTTTAATGGTAACACAACTTGCATTATTTGCAAGAATTAAAAATCAGGATTAATTCTTGAGTATGAAAATATTCTAAGACGAAATCAAAATATGGCATATTTTAAATAATTAAAACACGATATATGAGGTTTAAGCAGATGCATCGGCTCATTGTCTCTAACATATTTCATTCCCACCCTATACATGTTGGCTCGCCGTTCATAAAGATATAAGTTATTTATGGAAGAAATTAAAATCAACTCACAAAGTAAACCGCTCCGAAACTTCCATGGCCAATCTCCTGCAGATCAGTGAAGAGTTTCTCAGGATCTTCCTCCGAGAAGAACGAGGCGACCTCAGAATCTTTGATCTGTGATACCCGTGTCGGTAATGGCATCCTACTTCAAGAGACAGTCCTGGTTACAACGAGAGACAGGCACTAGCTTGACTGGCGTAGGTGTTGCCCACATGGGAGTATAGGGTGGGTGATACGGCTGCGGTTGCCTCACCGCTAGAGCCTTGTTGTTAGATTAATACTCCCACTACCTGAAACAAACAAGGAAAACCAAGTTGCATGTACATTATGTAAATAAAGCAATACAATTTTAAACTACAAAAAATTTATTTAAAATACCAGACTACAAAAACAGGATTAAACTGAAAAGAAGTATCAAACTAAATAATACAGAAAAAGCAGCAGAAGAGATACACAACATTTTGGTGTTTTGATTATTTTTTTATCTTCACATGATTTCACATGTAAAACGTTTCATTTTGTTCGGTACAATATGGATTCGTACAAACTGTTCACTTTTTCAACAACAGATTATTGTTAATTCTTGGTGCCATGTGCATATTTCAAATGCCGTGACACATCAGTGGCTAGCATAACATACATGTACCAGTACATGTGCAACGTCAAAAGTTCAAGAACAAATGTCTCGGAACCATTCATGCAAATAGTACACGACATACCATGAAAATCAGTCATTGTTTGGCTGAGTTTCTGACATGCACAGTGCCCATGTTAAGCAATGCAAGTGCTTTTTACATGTAGTTATTTTTTACAGATATACAAAACGTTTCAAAAAAAATATGATTGTAAACGTTTCAAAAAAAATATGACTTTCAATACAATTTGCAAACATTTACATTTTTTGCATATAATTTTTTTTTCTTCATAAATGCTACAGAATGAGGGGAAATTTTTTCACTAATCCTCCCCCGATGTTCTCTTTGACAAATTTTTTAGCAAGGAAAGGTTCATGAATAGGCAGAAACATCTCAAAGTCACGGTCCCGAGTATTTTTTCCGGAGTGTCGTAACCTTTCTAGTTTTGTTATGTTGCAGTTTGAATGTGACCTGTCCAAGTTTAAACTTAACATTGTGCACGTTATTTGTCGGTTTTTTTTTAAACTGAGAACACACCTACAAACAAAACACATTCAAGTTTGTGAATTCGTTCGGCCCAAGGGACGCACTAAATCCCAAATGGACCCAGTATTGTTGGGCTTTCTTGCAGGCCGTAGGTTAAAACCAACGCAGGAATAATAGTCCAGACATGCCAGTGGGTACGCATTGTGTGCAGGGTGTTAAACCCTTTATTTGTGTAGGTTGCTTTGTGCTAAATAGAATTAGGCCCCAGTTTTTCAATGGTGGTCCAACAAAGGAACGCACTAGGGACTTCAAGAACTGGTGAGAAAGTAGAATATTTATAAACAAGCCAGGAATGGATGGCATTTGACAAAATGAGAGCACTGTGTTTTCAAGATCTCACTGTGTACAATAACATTATTTCTTACTAACAATGAACAGTTGATCCAATATGCAATGTGTAATGTACTGAAGTTTTACATTCAATAATCCGTACATGTACATAGGCAGTTAATTATAATGTCTGGTGTACATGTACATGTATTTGTCCCTTTTGGGGGGGGGGGGCATTGATACATGTATGCACATGTCTATTTTTATCACACAATACCGAATAGGTTGCTGGAAAGGTAAACATTTCTTACCAATTAAACCGTAACCCTTTTTTGTTTGCAGGTATATACTTGGTTCAATATTCCTGTTATTTTTATAGAACAGTGCATGCCCAAGCATGAACACCATCGCATCACGGTTCTCATGAAAAGGACAAATTCCTACCATACATATCCCTCGGCACAATGAATGTCTTTTTCATTTTATGACATAATACAATTTTCCTCAACATGTTTAATTTCCATATGTTTAACATCACTGAAGTTCCATACACTTCCATTTCAAACATCCTTTAATTTTTTGGTCATTTGGATGTTAGTGGAAATATTTACACAGACCACAAACATACGTGCATTTCTAGTCAATACAATGACTTGACAGGATTTGTTATTAGTGACCCTTTGTCCTTTCAGTGGCATGCACAATGCACAGAAGCAACTGCACAACCTACGTGTTCAATAGGCCAAAATTCTCCAGGCTCTGCTAACCACCGAATTCCAAGCTTACGATCACCATTCTGTGCTTAGTAGCACGAGTAAAAGCCAAAATTCATCGCTAGCCCGTGAAATGTGGTCATGTGTTCAAACGCTGACCCAAGACATAACGTTGTGAGCAAGACAATTTGGCAGAAATTTCAGATGAACTATTTAAGAATTGTGAATTATTCTGTAGAATTCAAATACATTATCCCTAACCCTTTGAGCACTTTTTCTACAAAGAATCCTGAATCTGCCAAAATCCACCAATTTTGTCATGCAACAAAAATGTTGGTGTCCCGAGTCCATCAGAATCCACCAGACATAGCGCATAATACCTTGTACACACCAAACATACATGTAGCCAAGGAGCTAAACTGTTGAGATCCTGCATCCATAAAAAAAATTAAAAATAAAAGTCCCCAAACTGCTCAATATGGAGGTATCCTGAATCCATCAAAATCCTGCAGTACCGCTAGGCTAACTGTCCTGAATCCATCAAAATCCCCCAAGTTTTTCACTATGGAGGCATCTACAATCTGCCGAAATCCTCCAAAACAGGGGTGTGGATTTTGATGGATTCATATGGTGGTACGTTATGGCAATTCCACGGTTACTCACGTTACATTTTTGATGTACTTTTGAGTTTCCTTGGGCTGTAATTACCTTACTGGAAAGGTTTAATAACTGTTATCCCCATGGTAGATAGAGTAGACCTAGACCTACCTAAGCACCAAAGATGACATCCAGAAAAATGTGTTATGTATGATAAACAAGATGCACAAAATTGGTTACTCACATTACATTTTTGTAACATGAGTAACCAATTTTGTGGGCTTTGACCTCAAAACATTTTCAGTAACAACAACTTTAAATCTGCAATGCACACATGTACAGGGACACATACAAACATCAAAGGTATGTACCCACACCGCATAGTTCAGTTTTCAAGCATTTTTGACCTGTCATGATACAATGTCCACACAGTACTTGACTGGCATTCATTGTACTGGTATGTCAGGGTCATAGTGCCCCAGATATTTCCCAGTTCTTATTATGGACCTGTAAACAAGACAAAGTGCAATATTCTAGAATGGGAATATTTCCTGCATATCTCATACTTCACTCTTCAGTGACTTTGCTTTGACCGGCCCAAGTACAAATTTTAAACATTGCATTTGTTGCTGTAAGTTATCAATATCAGAAACTGCATTTAAATATAGTTGATTCACCCTCCTGCTATTTAAACAGTCACAGACAGTCAAAATTCATTCCCACTTCCCTGCTATACTTTTAACAAAGGCTGGTCACCAGCAGTCAGATCATATGTCAAGCAAGCACTGTGACTAGTCAAACTGGGTCAACAGACAAAGCAGGCAAGTTGTGGTCACAGCTGTTTTATCACTCACCCCGAGTCAAAGCATAGCTGTATCAAGCTACATAAACAGTCCCAGCCAGTCAATGCTGCTTTATGTGGGCTGGGAATTCTTAACTATTGAATTCGGTCACGTGTTTTATTTTGACTGAAAGGACTAATTGGCACAGAATGTATATTTGCATAGGAGGGTAAACAGGTCTATATTGGTTGTTTTGATTAAAAAGTGAAAACTTGAAAAAAAATCATTTGTTTCTCCTTATCGTTTAAATATATTATTGGTACGAAATCATTATCGGCAAAACAAACGATGTAATAGACCTAATTAAACCTTGCAATATACATGTACATGTACGTACGAGTACATGTATGTGTAACACTGAGTGCAGAATTTAGCACACTTGTATGGGTGAACGCGTACATGTAAAATGTATGCGTACGATTTGAACTTTGATGTGACTGTATAAAAATGCTGTCATCAAATACAAAATTGTTACAAACACTGTAGGAAGAGAGACAATCTGCTGTTTGGAGACTGCTCAAACCCACTGATAGGGATAAGTCCATACATGGACATGTACAATGACTAACAAAAAACATTGATCAATAACGGAATAAAACAACAAAGAGGTGATTGTAATGGCTGAGAAGTACCCAAATCCCACAGCTGTAATTTCATATTCTGCTCCAACACACACTTATCTATAATTCTCAATCATCTCATTACAAACCCACAGCATTTTCCCAGAATTTGGCCGACCATAATTTTTACTGATCAAGACAGTACAACCCATGATTGCGCATACATGTACCATTAGCATGTGTGTAGGGTTAGCGTAGACAGCACAACCAGCATCAATGCAGCATTTTTATGTGATGAGTAATAGCCAATACTGAATAGGACACAGATGGTCAAACCTATGTAGCATCCTTGGCCTTCCACAGTCACAACAACATGATAGCCTACATGTACATGTATGTAGACATTATAAAGTGGTATTTTGAACACTGTATACAGATGTGCATGCATGTACATGAATATAAATGAGAAAATAACATGTATACTTTACAGTTTGTGATACAAGTTGAACATGGACGCATACATGTAGATTGGACACAGATAGAAACTAGGTTGGGGTACCTTATCACAACATAAACATTTTATGCTAAAAATATGCAACACATGGATGCAAACATCAATGAAATCGGTCTATTTTGATGTCTGTCATAAATCAAAGATTTTTTTCGGGGGGGGGGGGTACATGTACATCTATGTAAGTACATGTATGTTTACTTCCATACTAGCATCATGTTGCAAAATGGTTTACAGTAATTCAGGCACTTCATGTAGATTAATTTTTAAAACATCATCAAAACTGAATGACTGAAAAGTCTTAGATGTTATGTGTTGATGACAAAGCACTTGTGAAATAAAAAACCAGTATTGCATTTGAATACAGGTTATTTAGTATTCAGACAAAGAGAATAAAGAGATCCTTACATATGACAGTGCATCTAACAATAATCGTCCCTTCAGACACGAACAGCATGCACACCACAGATAAATTATTACCGTCCCAGTAAATTGTCTAGGCTGGCCAGACCCGGCATATAACATTAACAGCATTGCTGGGATTCCAGCTAGCCACTTTTTCCATGGCTCTTTGGCGCGCACGGCAAATTCTTGCCTGGGTTTTCCCACGCTTCGCACAGGACCTCTGCTCAGCCTAATTATGTTAAATATAAACACCGCTGCTTCATTTGAGTCGACTCCAACTTCTGTTTGCTTTATTCCTCCTTTTCGGCAAAATATCGCACTAAAATGATGAATGTGATTTTAAGGCGTGGAGAATTCCTCAAAATCTTTATCATCAAAAAAATATAACGCTTATTCGAAGGTCTTCAATTCTTTTGTTTGGTGGCTAATGCTATAGGAAGAATGGAATTATTTTTCACTTGAGAAATTTTCTGAAGGATTTAACATCTGGAGGTGTTTATTGCTTGCTTGACTGAACAACCATTCTTTGTTCCACTGCGAACACTGCTTGCTATTGTTCTATCATGCACGCAACTTAACGGACAATGTGTATGTCATTTACACCTGTGCCCATTAGCAGGTTAGGGGTTGATATGGGATAATGTTGGCTTTCTGTAATTATCACTAGATTTTAACGTTGTCAACATAACAAGATCTTGACAGTATGCAACAAATCAGCAATATTCAATTTTGAATATACTTATAGTATGTATACATGTACGGTATTCTTTCAAAACAGAAATCATAATATTCACACATGTAATGCACAAACTGCACACATGTATGTTTTTTGTAAACAATACATGTACTGTAAAAGCTCAACTTAAATGTACATGAACGTACATGTATGTATGTCCGATACATGCATACATGTATCATAGACTACATTTAAAGTATACTGTCAACTTTGTCGGTTTGATTTATTGGCACTTCCACAAAAATACAAAAAAGAGGGAAAACAATACACAGAGATAAAACATGTAAGAAAACGATCAAAAGAAAGTACAGCACAAAATTACAGTATACTACCGGTATACAAATCACAAGGCACAATTTTTTTTAAAAGCCTAATGCCTGTACATTTTTTTTGTGTACATCATATGTTCCAGTTGACCAGCATATTTACAGAGCCTGATTACTGGGTTGTTTAGGGACAAAGAATACGCATGCCACATGGAATGTGCATGTAAACCATGTGTATTGCGGTAAATAAATACATGTGTAAGTCTGACCTTGGTCAAATTGTACATCACAAATTTACAAATATATAGATGGGTCCATCAAATTTGTAAGAAATCAAGTTCAAACAATCCTGGTAAATTCTGACAAAGAGATAATTATGTTAAAAAAACAAATTAACTTCATTTTAAATTTTTAACAAATTAACAAGTGTAAACAATAAGTATATTTGCACATAATAAAATAATGAAACTATCATCTTGAAGTTGTTTATAATTCTCATTCGTACAGACTGTGCTTTGTGTAATGATTTTGAATCTGTATGGTATAGATCCAATTTCTTATTGTCGTTTATGGAGTGTAAGGGCCCAGTTTCGATGACTTCTGCGTGAAATAAGTTGTGTAAGAAACTCTACACGGCCGCAGCGGTCTGAAATGCCGATTATGACAAGTCAGTTGAAAAAATTGGAAAGTGTCACCATTCATAATAAATTAATAATAGGTAATATCATTTTACGCAACAGGGTTCGCCTCGGTAGGCCTATAATCATGTGGAAGGCGAGGTTTTGTAAAAATGTAGAAATTAGCTCAAGTTGCAATTTCAAAAACATTTGGCATTGAACTACAGCGCACATTGATGTCCCCTACCATATGTAGCGCACTTTGATTTTCACCTCCAGTGCCTTGCTAGAGCAAAAGTTTCGCCAATACATGTACATCTAATTTCATAGTAGGTGAAATTCCATCAAGTTCTGAACATTCCTGTTCATAAGCCTTGATATGTAAATGGAGGTAATATTGATTTATCAGAGTTTGCCAAATTCAAAGAAATTCTGAAATGTTCACTTGGGAATTCCCAATATTTGTTTAACTAAGAGTGCCATATTTGTACACACTTTCCAGATGGCACCATTTGTGAATTTTGGACTTATGCCTAATTTCATGATAAGTGTTCACATTGGTTCAATAGTGAGCATCAAACATAGGTACTTAAACATGCAGTGGAAATTCAGCTCATTTTATAATAAGGTTTTTTTTTCAACTATAAGCAAATCCTTTCATCAATACATGTAAGAGGGTGCTATTTTGCTTTTGTCACACAAGGTACTCCTTGTCAAAAGCGCATATGAACAGTACAAAAACTAGTCCTTCAAAATTACCCACAAAAAAAGATATGAAGTTATACTGGCCACTACTATTGTCCAAACAAGCTTTTTACATGATAAACAAGTAAAAAGTGGAACTTACTCCAAGAAAATGAAGAAAAGTTTGATATATTTGTGCACAAAGCTATGGAGACACTACTGTTCTGCCTTGATTGACATCACGATTTGGCTCAAGAATGTGGACATTTTCATTAGCATAAAAACTAAAATGTTGACATTTCACTTACAATTTTGCAGGATTTAAAATTACAAGTAGACAATGAAATAGTTAAAATGGCAAAGCAAAGTTAAAATGGCAAAGCAAAAACAAAGCTGCGTGACACATAATGCACTCCAAAACAGTACACGTAGTAAACATTTATACGAAGAAATAAACATGGAATTTGGTTGGCCATATTCCATGGAAAGAATGTAGTAGCCATGTTAGCGGTTGTTTACAAAGTCTATGGAGATACATGGAGGAATTCCTCCATGGGAAAGTCTAGTCAAGACAATTTTCCAAGTATTCCTAAGAAAATTGGAAATGTTTCTCAGTCCCAGATTCATGTACTTTCAACATTTTTTTGCAGCGACTGACCAAAAGGCTTTATTGAGGTGATATATGAAGAAAGAAAGTGGCGTCAGGTTGCAACATTCTTTCCTCTACCATTGGTTCCAATGGCGGTACATCAATCTTGAAGGCAGCATGTCCAACAACAACAATCTTCATCAATCATCTTCAACTTCATACAATCATTCATAGGCCTATCTTCAAGTTCATAATTAATACATTAATCGTCAATATTTACATCTAAGAATAAGATGAGAAGTGAACCAAATATATTTAAGGGGAGAAGTAGGCATAGTCTATGTTTGCAGTTTATTTATGTCCAAGGAATATAATGACACTGATTCCAAAGTACATGGACCGCACTCCGGCTCCGCAGGTATTTTCTCGTGTATTGAAATACGGAAGTTAATCGATGTGTGTAATTTACTGTGACGACAATAGGGGCAAAAAACACGCATAAAATCGTTATATGAATATCAAAACATGTCAACGATACAAAGATACTTACAGAGACAATGTAGAAGTATGTTCCCGTCCTTCGAGCGCGTCTGGTCATGAAATAATCCTTAAATTCCTTACGTTTTTAACTCCATCAACTCCTCCCTAGCTCAGGTCGAAATCAGAATCATTCACAAAATGGCGGCTGACAGCGCATGCGTACATGTTGGCCTGGTTCCGGATAATTTTACAACAAAAGACAAGCGCAAAAGCACGCGAGAGAGGCGGTATCACAGGCTGGATGACAATAAAACTTTAAAGAGGGCGCTATCACGAAGTTCCGGTAGTAGTTACCTCGTTTATAAATTTAGCTCACTCCACTTCAACAAAACCATAGAGCAATAATTACTGGTTGTCCGAAATTTGGTTATATTATTTTTGTTATTTGACAATTTATCCCGATGTTCAACAGAATTGTGTTACATATGACATACAATTGATATACGACATTTCGATTCAATGTAACAACTATTTCTTCAGTTAACGTCCGTAAACGGATGTGTTGTTCCATATAAAAAAAATATTTTGTTTGCGTTTAACATAGGCCTACCACATAATTTTGTTTATATCATTTTCATTATTCAGCAGTTTCTCTCGATATTCAAGAAAATTGTGTTGAATATCACGACCAATAAACAGATGAAATTTCAATTTGTTACAACTGGTTTTTGTTGAGTTATTGCCGAGAAACCGAGTACGTTGTTGTTTTCCCATGAAAGTTGACTTCAATTTGGGTTCCGTTTTTCGCGCTTTAAACACTACATGTTTCGGTTATAATTATTATTAATTTTTTTATATTTTTTTACGATTTCTCCCCATTTTCTATAGGAATTGTGTAAAAAAAAAAACCACTGAATTAATAGACGAAATTTCAATTCAATGTAAAAAGTATTTCCTAAGTTTTCGTATGGACGCCGAGTGTTTTGTTTTTGTGTCATGAAAGTTGACTTGTTTGACAGTTTCTCCCAATATTCTACAGAATTGTATAAAATATCACATCAGATTGATATACGACATTTCGATTCAATGAAACAACTATTACTTGACTTATCGTCGTGAAAACGTGTGCTGGTTTTGTTCCATATATAATAAGTTGATTTTAATTCGCATTGTATTTTTTTTTCAAAAGAGGGCGCGCTAAACAAATAACGGTCCCCATCTCGCAATATTTTGTCAACTAAAACGCGGGAGGAAAACATTAAAATGTCTTGGTTGATCATCCGCGCAACGAGTGCGTTTTTGTTTGTTTAATAGTTTATGCAGGTTTTCAGTAGACTTTAACTTAAAGCATTTTATTGTGCACGGTGGTGCATTTGACCACTTTATGAGTAGGGCGCCCTCTCTTGTAAGAGCATTTCAGTTGCCTTCAGTTCGGTTTGTATTTTTTCGTGCTTAACATACTACATTGTTTTGATTATATCATTTGAAGTATTGCACAGATTCTCTCAATTTTCTATAAAATTGTTTAATATATCACGACTAATAAACAGATTAATTTTTAATTAGTTTCAACGAGTAATTCTTGAGTTATCGTAGGTCGTTTAAATTCATTCCATGAAAATTGGCTTGAATTTAAAGTACATTTTATCAAGCCTATATTAAAACACTCATTGTTTTGGTTATGTTATTTTTGTTATTCAACGACTTCTTCCGATTTTCAATAGAATTTCAATTTAATGTAAAGAGTATTTCCTACGTTATCGTCTGGAAACCGAGTGTGTTGTTTTGTGTTATGAAAGTTGACTAGATTCGCCTGATATTTTTGCGCTTAACACACTCAGTTTGTTTGGTTATATTCTTTGTTTTGTTTGACAGTTTCTCCCGATATTCTACATAATTGTATAACATATCACATCAGATTGATATACGACATTTCGATTCAATGAAACAACTATTTCTTGACTTATCGTCTGGAAAACGTGTGCTAGTTTTGTTCCATTATAAAATAAGTTGACTTTAATTCGTATTGTATTTTTTTTCAAAAGAGGGCGCGCTACACAAATAACGGTCCCCATCTCGCAATTATTTTATCAACTAAAACGGAGGAAAACATTATAATGTCTTGGTTGATCATCTGCGCAACAAGTGCATTGGTTTTGTTTATTAGTTTATGCAGGTTTTCAGTAGACTTTAACTTAAAGCATAATTTTTTTTGTTCACGGTGGTGACCACTTTATGAGTAGGGCGCCCTCTCTTGTAAGAGCATTTCAGTTGCCTTCAGTTCGGTTTGTATTTTTTCGTGCTTAACATACTACATTGTTTTGATTATATCATTTGAATTATTACACAGATTCTCTCAATTTTCTATAAAATTGTTTAATATATCACGACTAATAAACAGATTAATTTTTAATTAGTTACAACGAGTAATTCTTGAGTTATCGTCCGGAAACTGAGGTCGTTAAATTCATTCCATGAAAATTGACTTGAATTTGGGGTACATTTTTTAAGCTTACATTAAAACATTAATTGTTTTGGTTAGTTATTTTTGTTATTCGACGACTTCTTCCGATTTTCAATAGAATTTCAATTCAATGTAAAGAGTATTTCCTACGTTATCGTCTGGAAACCTAGTGTGTTGTTATGTGCTATGAAAGTTGACTAGATTCGCCTGTTATTTTTGCACTTAACATACTCAGTTTGTTTGGTTATATTCTTTGTTTTGTTTGAAAGTTTCTTCCGATATTCTACAGAATTGTATAATATATCACATCAGATTGATATACGACATTTCGATTCAATGAAACAACTATTTCTTGACTTATCGTCTGGAAAACGTGTGCTGTTTTTGATCCTTAAATAATAAGTTGACTTTAATTCGTATTGTATTTTTTTTCAAAAGAGGGCGCGCTACACAAATAACGGTCTCCATCTCGCAATATTTTGTCAACTAAAACGGAGGAAAACATTATAAGGTAGCAGACCAGTGAATAAACTTCCATAGACCCCAATGGTAAATGCTCCCACTTCAAAAATTCGAGAAAAATACTCACAACTCTCCAAGGTGTTCGAGTCACACATCAAATTAAAGCTTATTTCATCATCTTTCATTTTCTTCTCAATTTTTTGGGGGGTCAACTGATGGCTTTTAGGAGAAATTTCCATCTGAAGATGATCACCCCTGAAAATAGTCCTGAAGCCCATCGCCATTTTGAAAAACGATGCCTACACTCCATTGCAAAATAGAGCGCTTTTAGGGTCCAAATTACATCAAAATTACACAGAACTGCAAGCTCCCAGTCCTGTGCACGGCTTCCACCCATATTTTTTACAAACCCTCAAGTTCATGGCCCACGGCATGCTCAAATACCGAAGATTTTGAGGGCATGCAAATAGTGATTTTGCCGGCGCAGGCAATTTCGGACCGATTTACTGGTCTGCACCCATACTGTCTTGGTTGATCATCCGCGCAACGAGTGCATTGGTTTTGTTTATTAGTTTATGCAGGTTTTCAGTAGACTTTAAATTAAAGCATAATTTTTTTGTTCACGGTGGTGACCACTTTATGAGTAGGGCGCCCTCTCTTGTAAGAGCATTTCAGTTGCCTTCAGTTCGGTTTGTATTTTTTCGCGCTTAACATACTACATTGTTTTGATTATATCATTTGAAGTATTGCACAGATTCTCTCAATTTTCTACTGAAGTGTTTAATAGATCACGACCAATAAACAGATGAATTTTCAATTTGTTACAACAAGTAGTTCTTGAGTTATCGTTCGGAAACTGAGGTCGTTTAAATTCATTCCATGAAAGTTGACTTATTCGGGTTACATTTTTCGCACTTTAAACACTAAATGTTTTGGTTATATTATTTTTGTTATTCGACGATTTCTCCCGATTTTCAATAAAATTGTGTAAAGCGTCACGCTAAAAAGTATTTCCTAAGTTATTGTCTGGAAATCGAGTGTGTTGGTTTTGTTTCATAAGTTGACTATGATTCGAATTGTATTTTTTTCAAAAGAGGGTGCATAACAAAAATAGTGGTCCATATAAAAATGGACGGAGGAAAACATATATTTCTTGGTTTATAGTCCATGCAACGAGTGCTTTATTTTGTTAAATAGATGACAGGGTTTTCAGGAGAATTGTAACATAATAAAATATTTTTTTGGTGTACGGTGGTGACACAGTGTAGCGCCCTTTTTATGTGTAGCGCGCCCTCTTTTGTAAGAACAATTCAGTAGCCTTCATTTCAGCTTGTCTCAATATTCTGTCTGTTGATGGAGAGAGAATAATTTGTCTCAATCTTCTATCTTGTTTGTCTACTTTTCTTGACCAATCATCTGGCCACAATTCAATTCAATGCTCCAATTAATTTTTGAGATAGCATGTCGTCTTGGACTATCGCTCCTGTGCAAAAGTGAGGCAAATGATCTGTTTGGACTGCCACTGCAGCCCATCGCCAAGTTTTGCTACGTGTCGCGACACAAGACACTGTTTAGGGAGAGAAAAACAATATTTCGTTTAAATCTTCGGTATATTTTGTCTTCTTTTCGTCACCAATCATCTGGCCAAAATTCAATTCAATGCTCCAATTAATTTTTGAGATAGCATGTCGTCGTGGACTATCGTTCCTGTGCAAAAGTGAGGCAAATGTTCTGTTTGGACTGCCACTGCAGCCCATCGTGAAGTTTTGCTATGTGTCGCGACACAAGACACTGTTTAGGGAGAGAAAAACAATATTTCGTTTAAATCTTCTGTTTATTGTGTCTTCTTTTCGTGACCAATCATCTGGCCAAAATTCAATTCAATGCTCCAATTAATTCTTGAGATAGCATGTCGTCGTGGACTATCGTTCCTGTGCAAAAGTGAGGCAAATGTTCTGTTTGGACTGCCACTGCAGCCCATCGCCAAGTTTTGCTACGTGTTTCGACACAAGACACTGTTTAGGAAGAGAAAAACAATATTTCGTTTAAATCTTCTGTCTAGTTTGTCTTCTTTTCGTGACCAATCATCTGGCCAAAATTCAATTCAATGCTCCAATTATTGTTTTACGATAATCCCCAAACAAATCAAGGTATCGAATTGATATTTCGTCTTGTGATTTGTCGTTACATAATACACATTTCTTCTAAGTTTTGAAAGAATTGGTCCAACAATACAGGCAACAGAACCAAAACAAAATAGTGCGTTAAGCGCGAAAAATAATGAGTCGAATTAAAGT